TTCAACTCTGCGGTGAGACGAAGGACTTCTTTTCGTAGTTCTGCAATGGTGGCACGGTCGCTCTCACGGAGCTCCAAGGTGAGGCGACTAATATTGTGCATGTTTGAGCCAATTTCATTGTCACTTTCCATGTCCTCGTTAGCTTGTGTTAGCCTCTGTGCTACTAGTGGGTTTCAGTCGGGACTAAGTGCTATTTGCTGAAACCACTGAATTAATAAGATAAAACACTCAGATATATTAAAAAACTGAACAATAAAAACGCGCTAAAAAGTTGTTAAAAGTTTACTAAAAAGGTGCACAGAGCAGCCCTGCAGTACTGCTTACTTTGACACACCTCAGGAATATCACTTAAACAACAATACAATTTTATATGAGCTGCCTATTTAAACGTGCTCAAATTTGATTTCTTACTTTTGCATGTTCCACTTTTTCATGATATACATCGTTTGTGTATTATTAATTGTGTACATATTAATTCCAAGCTCATTTCTATGGTGTACTATGATGTTTGTGTAGTATAGTATTATTTACATATTTTCGTCTCCACAAGTTATTAGAACCATAGGCGGCCATACTATCTGTGCATATTTGTTGCATTTTAAATTAATACATGCTGATGTTGTAAGCGACGTTCCTTTGTTTCAAAATACAGTTGGCATTATTATGATTTATTTATTTACCCTCTTTATCTCCCAATTCTTTATCCTCCTTCTCCGTTGTATGGCGAAAACGCACTGGGGTCTTGCTGGTGCGCGCTTGCTGTGGTGGCCACTGTAGATTGTAGCGGTCTTCATATTGCTTCGTCTTGCCCACAAGATCGACGAAGGTGGCCTCTTGTCGCAGTGTGCTCCATCGCTGGCAAAGAAGTTTTGCAGCTTCCATTGATCCAAGGGCAGTGACTTTAGTGCCTTGTAGTGACCGAGCCACCGATTCACATGAGGAAAGCACGGCAACACAAGCAAACAAACCAAAAACCGTGCGCGTAGTAGTGGCCTTTTTGATCAGGCCTGCCACTTTTGCGTGCGTCTCCCCCCTGACAGTCCTGTCATTCTCCAAGGTTTGAAATGTCTGCAGCATCTCTCCATAGCAGGTCAGCAACCGCGACAGTGCCGCAACCCTGACGCACCACCGAGTTGGGCACAGGGAAAGCAGGTTAACCACTTCTCCACATCCGAAAATAGACTGATAAAGGTTTTTTCTTTTTGCTGATTCATTTATGGTTACTGTGACTTCTCGAACGAAGTTCAATGTATCAGCAACAAGGCGCACTTCTTTTGCCACTTCTTGCAGCACTAAATCCAGAGAGTGATTTGCACAATGAACAAACACAGAGTCAGGACATGTTTCCTTCAATCTTGCCTGTACTCCCGTGAACCTCCCAGACATGTTGCTGGCTCCATCAAAACAGTAGCCTTTCAGCTTCTCCAAAGGCAAGTTGAGTCGAACGAGGACGTCTTTTATACATAAAAAGAGCATCTCTGCGGTTGTGTCCGGGGCGTTATAAAATCCCAAAAAGAAATTCTGAACGTCCAGATTGTCATCAGAAAACTGAACATTGATTGAAAACTGCTCTTTGCCACTCAAGTCAGTGGTCCCATCCGCAGTTAAGCCAAAAAAAGGACTTTGGGCTGCTTTGGCTCCGATGTTTCTCTGGATGTAATGCGCAAAGAGCTCCAGAATTTCGTTTTGGATGCTGCCGGACAGCCAGTTGTCTCTCCTTTGCATCCACTTCTCCATATCAGGATCAGTGCGCACCCTTTCCATCATTAGCTGCCATAACACCCCATCCCGATTGGCAGCTCCTCTCAGAGGGAGTCCCTGGCGCCCCAGGAATCTTACACTGCTGAAAATGAGCTCCAGCATTTTCCGCGCTGTTCTCTGGTCCTTAGCAGCGGCCTCGGAGAGTAGCGCATTTATTGGCGTGCTTTTCAATGCAGCCAATCTTTGGGTTGCATCTAAATGAATGCGGGGCTTTTCATGGTCTCTGATCTTTTCCGTTGCTTTTCTCCAATTTGAAAAGCTGTTATCATTCAAAAACTGACTTTCAGATTCTGACACAATCAACTTGCCTTTGACAGCTGACCTGCACACAATGCCATCACTGGCCGCAATGTACTCCAGCCACTGCCATTCCCTGAACCAAGCGGCCTTGGTTCAGGGAGAACGACTGAAGTTCTCACCGCTGAACTTTTTGACAGGAAAATTATACCCTTGGGGTGGTTTAAAAGATATAGCCTCTTGGCTAGCACCGGGTCGCACTGGGGAGGGAGGACGAGGGTCCTCCGCTGCTGCCAGCTGCTGTCCGGTTGCCGGCACACTCATTGGCACACTCTGAGCTCCAGGTGTCGCTCTTGGATGCTTCGCTGGGTCGGCCGCTTTCAAAAAGTATGAAGAAATTCTTTTCTGAGCCATAACTGAATCTGTTGATCTTGCTATGACAGTCAATGTGACGAAGGCTAACAATAGCTGATGCGCGGGAACAAACAACAACAATGCCCGCGAAACAATATATATTTTATTTATTTATTATTTTTTTAATTATAAATTTAACCTACGTCACATTGAGTTGTATGAAGCCATCACAGAAACAAGATACATCTAAATGCAAGACAGACGAAACACATTGAAAATGTATGTTTTATTATTATTTTCTGTGGGACTGATGGCTTCTGACCATATACAAGGTCGGAAGGGAGGGGGTGCGGCCGCACCCCCCGCACCCCTAGTCCCGACGTCTATGAATAAGAGTAAACACGATAAAGGAAAATCTGGTGCTTTTATAAGGGACAAAAAGAACTCAAGTTATCGTTCACATAATGTCCAAGAACAAGAAGATAGCAGCTCTGACAGCTCTGAAGATGGTCCTTTTGCTTTACAGTGCATGGAATTCAAACTGGGACGCATGAGTGAAATACATTTGAGGAAAGTGAATCCATATACAGAGACCCTGAAAGTGAATGGGAAAAAAGTTAATTTTGAAATAGACACAGGGTGCAGTCTCACAGTGATGAACGAAAAGACATTTCAAACAATGTGGGAAAATGACAAAACACCACAGATCAAACCAGTACAGATCAAGTTGGAGACTTATACAGGAGATCCAGTGAAAGTAGTGGGAGCTGCGCGTGTGAAAGTGAAATATAAAAAGCAAATCGCCAAACTGCCATTGGTGGTTGTAAAAGGGGATGGTCCCACTCTACTGGGCAGAGGCTGGCTTGAGGACATTCACCTGGACTGGAAAGAGGTGAAAGCCAGACGTGAAGCTCGTCATGTTCACCATGTCCACTCAGTGAAGAAGACAACGCTTCAGGAAGTGCTGTGCAATAATGAGGTTGTGTTTAAGGACGAGTTGGGAACATGCTCCACATAAAGGAAAATGCTGTACCCCGATTCTTCCGGCCCAGGTCAATTCCTTATGCCATGAAAGGAAAAGTGGATGAGGAAATTGACAGATTATTGAAAGAAGACATTATCACACCAGTGACATACTCTGATTGGGCCGCTCCAGTGGTACCAATACTGAAACCAGCAGGTTCAGTGAGGCTGTGTGGAGATTACAAATTAACGGTGAATACTGTTTCCTTTCTGGAGCAATATCCGATACCCAAAGTGGATGATTTGTTCAATGCTCTCTCCAAAGGTGTACAGTTCTCAAAACTGGATATGAGTCATGCTTACCAACAAATACTCATGGATGACGAGTCAAAGAAATACCTCACAGTAAACACGCACAGGGGACTGTTCACATACAATAGACTACCCTTTGGTGTGGCTTCAGCTTCAGCCATTTTTCAAAGGACAATGGAGAGTCTATTAAATGGGATTCCGCTCGTATCTGTCTATTTGGACGATATTTTGGTGAGTGGGGTAAATGAAGCGGATCATTTACATAATCTAAATACTGTGTTGACGAGGCTGAAGGAGGCGGGGCTTCGTCTCAGGAGGAGCAAACACCTTCATGCAAAATGAAGTGGAGTACCTAGGGTACAGAGTTGATGCACAGGGATTACATCCTCTGGATAAAAAAGTCAAAGCAATCCAAGATGCTCCTGCCCCTACAAATGTGACTGAGTTGAAATCGTTTTTGGGGTTACTAAATTATTACAACAAGTTCCTTCCCAACCTGGCAACAAGGTTGGCTCCTTTACACGAACTGCTAAGACAGGATGTTCGGTGGAAATGGAGCACAGAGCAAGAACAAGCGTTTCAAAATGCTAAAGACATGTTGAAGTCGACTGATGTTTTGATACATTACTCAGCTGACCGTGAGCTGTTGTTATCATGTGACGCTTCACCGTATGGAGTAGGTGCTGTGTTATCACACATCATGGAAGATGGAAGTGAAAGACCAATTGGATTTGTATCACGTACGTTACAACCGGCTGAGACAAGATACTCTCAACTAGACAAAGAAGGACTTGCTGTCATATTTGGTGTTGAAAAGTTTCACAAATACTTTTACGGGCACAACTTCACCATTTATACAGACCACAAACCACTAATTTATCTGTTTAATGAGAAGAAACCGATACCACAAATGGGATCGCCGAGAGTTCAAAGGTGAGTGCATACAAGTACAATATTGTGTGTATAAACCAGGAAAAAACCATTCTAATGCGGATGCATTGAGCAGGTTGCCTCTACCGGGCAAACTAAGGAAGGAGGAGAGAACCGAGCAAGTTTTAATGATGGACTTACTGGATGAGACACTGATCGAGGCGAGTCAAATAAAGAACTGGACAACCAAAGATCCTATATTATCACAAGTGCATGAATACATTCTAAAAGGAAGGCCTACAGTTACTGATCTGAGTCTTAAACCTTTCACCAGAGAAGAATGGATGTTGAAAAAACGGTTCAAGCGTGTCATGAGTGTCAGTCCCACCAAAAGGCACCCGCTCCAGCACCGTTACACCCATGGGAATGGCCTGAGAGTCCATGGTCGAGGATTCATGTGGACTATGCCGGTCCGTTCCTGTGAGAAATGTTCCTCGTGATAGTGGATGCTCACTCCAAGTGGTTGGATCTATATCCTACCAAGACAAGCTCTTCTCAAGTGACCATGAGAAGCTAGGTATTCGACATGTCCCGTTTCATCCGTCTTCAAATGGACTTGCAGAAAGAGCAGTTCAAACTTTCAAAGAGGGGGATGAAAAAGATGAAAGAAGGGACAATACAAACTAGGCTTTCAAGATTCTTGTTTAGTTACAGAATTACACCTCATGCCACGACAGGTTTGTGTCACGGCCCCTCCCTGCCTGACAGGGGCGTTTCCCTCTCAGGCAGGGTGGATCCAGTGATTGGGGCTCCTGTGCTTAAATGTGTGTGTGTCACTAACACTTGGTCTCTGCTCTGCTCCCTCCAGGTACTGGATCTTTGGTTCTTTGTGTCGTCATTCGTTAAGATTAGCTTTGTTTTCACACTCAGACATATGCACTAGTGATGGCAATATGAAGCCCCATGAAGCCTTGAGGGATCGCAGCTATTACTCGGCCCATGAGTCGAAGGCTCGAGGTGAATCATGCTCCACTACGCCATCATGTGGACAAAGAAATGTAATACATGCCAAGGGTGTATAACAAATGGTAGGGTCTGAACATGGGCTGAAAGAATACAGCCAATGATGTGGAGACAGTTGTTATGTAAAATGTGCTTGTGTTACTTTGTTTATGTAAGTGCTTATGAAACTATTGACAGGAGTTGAAAAACAAACCATACAGTTATTCATTTTTATTCAAAAATAATAATTTTTCAAGAGTATTTGGACTCAGGCGATTTCTTTTTTGCACAGTATTTCACCTGCCTTTGAAAAAACCCGTTCACAGGGCACAGAGGATGCAGGTGAACATAAATATGTAATGGCAAGTTTATATAAATTTGGAAATGTAAACTTATGTTTGTCCCAATATTGAAGGGGACTTTCGAGTTCGAGGAATATTTGGCTCCCCCAGGTATGTTTGGACCTCCACTGTAGCGTTGGCAGTTATGTTTGGGATTTTGGTCTGCTGGCATGTCGTCTCAAAACGTTGCCACAGTTTGCTCCCTAAAACAGAATAAACAGGTTATAAGTGACTTATTAGCACAAATAGAGTATACATATTACCTTCAGCTACAGATGATGATGATGGTGATGATGATGATGAAGCAGAAGCGGACAATGAAAGTCTCAAAACTCGAGCACATTCGCCAATCAATCTTTTTTCAGCTTCTGCTGCCTTATTGGGGTTGAAGAATCCAATCTTTTTAAATCTGGGATCAAGCAAGGTAGAGAGGGACATGATGCTCATTGATTGGAGGTGGCTGAGCTTGTCCCTCAGTTGTCTTCGCAAATACTCAGCCATGTCTCTGCTCTCAGGTGTTTGGATATGGCCGATCTCTTCTTCCAGCGCATTATGGAGAATGGTCAAAAGTTGAACTACTTTTGACCCAGAGACTCTTTTCTCCTCGGACACCTCAATTGTGGCATAGTAGAATGGAGCGAGCACCTTCAGACAGTCTGCAATGATGTTATATTGTTCTGCTGAGATTTGTGTAATGTCTGGAGCCAAAGCTGCTCCAACAGGCTCTCTCAGGTTGAACAGACGCTGAAGCATTAAGTACGTGCTGTTCCATCTTGTATCCACCTCTTGAATAAGTTTAAGCACGGAGAGACCCATTTGTGATTGATACTGTGTAAGTCTCTCCTATAAAACAGTCAACAAATTAAAACAGTGCAGGAGCAGAAATAATAATTGACATATTACAAGTAAGGACCTTACCTTTGCAGTAGTAGCTGCTCTTAAAGTATCCTACTATCTTACGACAGTTTGTCCTGATGTCACACAACTCTGGACTTTGGTCGAGAGCTTTTTTGATCATTAAGTTTAGCGTGTGTGCCACACAAATTGTGTGACGCATATGTAGCTCTCGAGCACAAGCTCCCATATTCGCAGCACCATCAGTCACCAGACATGTCACCTTTCCTGCTAAACCCCACTCTGACATAAGAGAGGTCATCACTCTCGCTAGATTTGCTGCTGTATGTGCCTCAGGGAAATGCTGCACCCCAAGGACAACAGTCTGCAGAGAAGTGCTCTCGTCAATAAAATGACCAGTCACTGCAAGATCAGAGAGAGAGACCATAGAGAGAGACCAGAGAGAGGGAGACCAGAGAGAGACCAGAGAGAGAGACCAGAGAGAGAGACCAGAGAGAGAGACCAGAGAGAGAGACCAGAGAGAGAGACCAGAGGGAGACCAGAGAGAGACCAGAGAGAGACCAGAGAGAGACCAGAGAGAGACCAGAGAGAGACCAGGGAGAGACCAGTAGGGAGACCAGGGAGAGACCAGAGAGAGACCAGAGAGAGACCAGAGAGAGACCAGAGAGAGACCAGGGAGAGACCAGGGAGAGACCAGGGAGAGACCAGAGAGAGACCAGGGAGAGACCAGAGAGAGACCAGAGAGAGAGACCAGAGAGAGAGACCAGAGAGAGACCAGGTAGATACAAGGGAGAGACCAGAGAGAGACCAGAGAGAGACCAGAGAGAGAGACCAGAGAGAGACCAGGGAGAGAGACCATAGAGAGAGACCAGAGAGAGGGAGACCAGAGAGAGAGACCAGAGAGAGAGACCAGGGAGAGAGACCAGAGAGAGATTGTCTTTGGTCTCAGTCCTGGTCTTGTCTTCCTGGTCTTCGGTCTCAGTCCTGGTCTTGTCTTCCTGGTCTTCGGTTTCAGTCCTGGTCTTGTCTTCCTGGTCTTCGGTCTCAGTCCTGGTCTTGTCTTCCTGGTGTCTGGTCTCAGTCCTGGTCTTGTCTTCCAGGTCTCTTCGGAGTCACTCGTTATGGTGTCCATATTAACGCCTACACCGTGGGGACCAATGGGGAGCTCAGGATGTGGCTCGCTCGCCGCTCTGCCACGAAGCAGACCTACCCCGGGCTCCTGGACAACATGGTCAGAGACGGGTCCTACTGAGACCGGGACGGGTCCTACTGAGACCGGGACGGGTCCTACTGAGACCGGGACGGGTCCTACTGAGACAGAGACGGGTCCTACTGAGACAAAGACGGGTCCTACTGAGACAGAGACGGGTCCTACTGAGACAGAGACGGGTCCTACTGAGACAGACTGGTCCTACTGAGACAGAGATGGGTCCTACTGAGACCAGGACGGGTCCTAATGAGACAGAGACGGGTCCTACTGAGACAGAGACGGTTCCTACTGAGACAGAGACGGGTCCTACTGAGACAGAGACGGGTCCTAATGAGACAGAGACGGGTCCTACTGAGACAGACTGGTCCTACTGAGACAGACTGGTCCTACTGAGACAGAGACGGGTCCTACTGAGACAGACTGGTCCTACTGAGACAGAGATGGGTCCTACTGAGACAAAGACGGGTCCTAATGAGACAGAGACGGGTCCTACTGAGACAGAGACGGTTCCTACTGAGACAGAGACGGGTCCTACTGAGACAGAGACGGGTCCTACTGAGACCAGGACGGGTCCTAATGAGACAGAGACGGGTCCTACTGAGACAGAGACGGGTCCCACTGAGACAGACGGGTCCTAATGAGACAGAGACGGGTCCCACTGAAACAGACGGGTCCTACTGAGACCAGGACGGGTCCTACTGAGACAGACGGGTCCCACTGAGACAGACGGGTCCTACTGAGACAGAGACGGGTCCTACTGAGACCAGGACGGGTCCTACTGAGACAGACGGGTCCCACTGAGACAGAGACGGGTCCTACTGAGACAGAGACGGGTCCTACTGAGACAGAGACGGGTCCTACTGAGACAGAGACGGGTCCTACTGAGACAGAGACGGGTCCTACTGAGACAGACGGGTTCTACTGAGACAGAGACGGGTCCTACTGAGACCGGAACAGGTCCTACTGAGACCGGGACGGGTCCCACTGAGACAGACGGGTCCTACTGAGACCAGGACGGGTCCTACTGAGACAGACGGGTCCCACTGAGACAGGCGGGTCCTACTGAGACAGAGACGGGTCCTACTGAGACAGACGGGTCCTACTGAGACAGAGACGGGTGCTACTGAGACAGAGACGGGTGCTACTGAGACAGAGGCGGGTCCTACTGAGACAGAGACGGGTCCTACTGAGACAGAGATGGGTCCTACTGAGACCGGGACAGGTCCTACTGAGACCGGGACAGGTCCTACTGAGACCGGGACGGGTCCTACTGAGACAGACGGGTCCTACTGAGACAGACGGGCCCCACTGAGACAAAGACAGGTCCTACTGAGACAGAGATGGTGCTGTTGATGGTGCTGTTGCTGTTAATGGTTCTGTTGATGGTGCTGTTGCTGTTAATGGTTCTGTTGATGGTGCTGTTGCTGGTCCCACAGGCTGCAGGGGGTCTCGCTGCTGGTCTCGGTGTAGAACACACAGTGGTGAAAGAGTGTGAGGAGGAGGCTTGCGTCCCCGCGGAGCTGGCTCGTACAGCTCGCCCTGTCAGCACAGTCAGGTGAGAGAGACCAGAGAGAGACCAGAGAGAGACTAGAGAGAGACCAGAGAGAGACCAGAGAGAGACTAGAGAGAGAGACCAGAGAGAGACCAGAGAGAGACCAGAGAGAGAGACCAGAGAGAGAGACCAGAGAGAGACCAGAGAGAGACTAGAGAGAGAGACCAGAGAGAGACCAGAGAGAGACCAGAGAGAGAGACCAGAGAGAGAGACCAGAGAGAGAGACCAGAGAGAGACCAGAGAGAGACCAGAGAGAGACCAGAGAGAGACCAGAGAGAGACCAGAGAGAGACCAGCGAGACACCAGAGAGAGACCAGAGAGAGACCAGAGAGAGACCAGAGAGAGAGACCAGAGAGAGAGACCAGAGAGAGACCAGAGAGAGACCAGAGAGAGACCAGAGAGAGACCAGAGAGAGACCAGAGAGAGAGACCAGAGAGAGAGACCAGAGAGAGACCAGAGAGAGACCAGAGAGAGAGACCAGAGAGAGAGAGACTAGAGAGAGAGACCAGATAGAGACACCAGAGAGGGAGAGACCAGAGAGAGACCAGAGAGAGAGACCAGAGAGAGACCAGAGAGAGACCAGAGAGAGACCAGAGAGAGACAAGAGAGAGAGACCAGAGAGAGACCAGAGAGAGACCAGAGAGAGAGACCAGAGAGAGAGAGACTAGAGAGAGAGACCAGAGAGAGACTAAAGAGAGGGACCAGAGAGAGACTAGACAGAGAGACCAGAGAGAGACCAGAGAGTGAGACCAGAGGGAGAGACCAGAGGGAGACCAGAGAGAGAGACCAGAGGGAGACCAGAGAGAGAGACCAGAGGGAGACCAGAGAGAGGGAGACCAGAGTGAGAGACCAGAAAGAGATCAGAGAGAAAGACCAGAGAGGGACCAGAGAGAGACTAGAGAGAGAGACCAGAGAGGGACCAGAGAGAAAGACCAGAGAGGGACCAGAGAGGGACCAGAGAGAGACCAGAGAGAGGACCAGAGAGAGGACCAGAGAGAGAAAACAGTGAGAGAGAGTGGCTAGAGAGAGAAAACAGAGAGAAACCAGAAAGAGACTAGTGGAATAAATAAATCCATGACATGTTCTACAGAGACCTGGCGTCACACGAACATGTTTCTGGTTTTTCAGCTACACGTACGACGACGACGATGGTGTTTTCGCTGAGACACAGTTTGTCTTCGACCTCGAGGTTCCTCCAGACTTCACTCCAACTCCAGGCGACGGAGAGGTCCAGGACTTCTACCTGCTGCCCATACACCAGGTAAGAGACCAGAGAGAGACCAGAGAGACCAGAGAGACCAGGGAGAGACCAGAGAGAGACCAGAGAGACCAGAGAGAGACCAGAGAGAGACCAGAGAGAGACCAGGGAGAGACCAGAGAGAGACCAGAGAGACCAGAGAGACCAGAGAGAGACCAGAGAGACCAGAGAGAGACCAGAGAGAGACCAGAGAGACCAGAGAGACCAGAGAGAGACCAGAGAGACCAGAGAGAGACCAGAGAGACCAGGGAGAGACCAGGGAGAGACCAGGGAGAGACCAGGGAGAGACCAGGGAGAGACCAGAGAGAGACCAGAGAGAGACCAGAGAGAGACCAGAGAGAGAGACCAGAGAGAGAGATCAGAGAGAGAGACCAGAGAGAGAGACCAGAGAGAGACCAGAGAGAGAGACCAGAGAGAGACCAGAGAGAGACCAGAGAGAGACCAGAGAGAGACCAGGGAGAGACCAGGGAGAGACCAGGGAGAGACCAGAGAGAGACAAGAGAGAGACCAGAGAGAGAGACCAGAGAGAGACCAGAGAGAGACCAGAGAGAGAGACCAGAGAGAGACCAGGGAGAGACCAGAGAGAGACCAGAGAGAGACCAGAGACCATACAGAGACCAGAGAGACAGACCTGACAGAGAGACTATGATGTCTGTGAGACAAAACCATATGGTTTGATTGGTTCCAGGTCCGGGAGCTTTTGGCCACTGAGGACTTCAAACCTAACTCTGCTATGGTGGTGCTGGACTTCCTCATCCGTCACTCCCTCATCCACCCAGACAAAGGTGTGAGAGTGGGGGGTTTCTCTGCTTAAATGATAAAGAGGTTAAAACTCTCTGACCCTGAGCAGAAATCTCCATCCCCTAGTTTTGTTTGTGTTTCCCCTTAACATCTATGACAGATTAGACCGAGAGAGAGACCATAGAGAAAGAGAGACGAGAGAGAGGCCAGAGAGAGACCAGAGAGAGACCAGAGAGACCAGAGAGAGACCAGAGAGAGGCCAGAAAGAGACCAGAGAGAGACCAGAGAGAGGCCAGAGAGAGACCAGAGAGAGACCAGAGAGAGACCAGAGAGAGACCAGAGAGAGGCCAGAAAGAGGCCAGAGAGAGACCAGAGAGAGACCAGAGAGAGACCAGAGAGAGACCAGAGAGAGACCAGAGAGAGACCAGAGAGAGACCAGAGAGAGACCAGAGAGAGACCAGAGAGAGACCAGAGAGAGGCCAGAGAGAGGCCAGAGAGAGGCCAGAGAGAGGCCAGAGAGAGACCAGAGAGAGACCAGAGAGAGACCAGAGAGAGACCAGAGAGAGACCAGAGAGAGACCAGATCCAGAGAGAGACCAGAGAGAGACCAGAGAGAGACCAGAGAGAGACCAGAGAGAAACCAGAGAGAGACCAGAGAGAGACCAGAGAGAGACCAGAGAGAGACCAGATCCAGAGAGAGACCAGAGAGAGACCAGATCCAGAGAGAGATCTGTTCATCCTTGTATCTTTTTCAGAACCGTTCTATCAGGAGTTTGTGTCTGGACTTCATCACAGACTTTAGCAGAAGAAGAAGGACACGGAAACTGGTTTATATTCAATAAACATTTTTATTAAATACGAGACGCTTGGTTTGTTTTAGTCTGAGATGCTTTAGTCTGGGTCTGGGATGCTTTAGTCTGGGTCTGGGATGCTTTAGTCTGGGTCTGAGATGCTTTAGTCTGGGTCTGGGATGCTTTAGTCTGGGTCTGAGATGCTTTAGTCTGGGTCTGGGATGTGTGTGTGGCCTGGACCTGGATCAGCTGAAGGACTGGAGACAAGAGAGAGAGAGAGACAAGATAGAGAGAGACTAGAGAGAGAGATACAAGAGAGAGAGAGACCAGAGAAGGGCTAGTGAGAGACACCAGAGATAGACCAGGGAAAGGTTTCTCTCTCTATTCCACATGTGTTAACGTCTAATCCAGACGGGAACAGTTTGAGTTTCTTGTTTTAAAAGCCTTTCAATAACTGCATCCTTTGTCCCAGAGAAGAGTGGGTCAAACGCAGAGACACAGAGAAGAGTGGGTCAAACGCAGAGACACAGAGAAGAGTGGGTCAAACGCAGAGACACAGAGAAGAGTGGGTCAAACGCAGAGACACAGAGAAGAGTGGGTCAAACGCAGAGACACAGAGTGGGTTAAACGCAGAGACACAGAGAAGAGTGGGTCAAACGCAGAGACACAGAGAAGAGTGGGTCAAACGCAGAGACACAGAGAAGAGTGGGTCAAACGCAGAGACACAGAGAAGAGTGGGTCAAACGCAGACACAGAGAAGAGCAGTCATATTGATGGCTTTTAGTTTTGGAAGCAAAATGACTCATGTCCTTTTTCGTCCTAAAACTGTGTGACTTCTTTGGTGTCTATATGTAGTTTATTTTCTACGTCATTTAAATTTATACCATTTTCAGTCACTTGGCATCCAACATTCTGTGGCAGGTAAAGCCCCTTTCATCCACAGTGCTGGTCCTGGACTGGACTGGTTCGTTTTGCACGGGAGCAGAACCAGCGCTAGTTACTATAGCAACACTACAGACTTTACTTGCTGCAGTTTGCATTTGCTTTCACTAAGCAAGTTTAGCTTTAAGTTTTAGCACTGATTATAGGTGAGTAAATGTTTTTTGGTAGAAAACTAACTCTCCTTTTTGATATTATTTGAATTGCGTTGAATTGAATGGGAACCATCATAAGAACGGGTGTTCTAGTAGCTTCAGGAGTTTGTCAGAAAATGTGAAATGTATTACATTTGTTGTGTTTACCCGTTTGATTATTTTTTAATTATGTAATTCTCTGATTGTGTAATTAATACGATGTCTAAAAAGCATTATCCCTAATATTCTGTTCACGTGAGAATTTTTTAAAATATGAGTCGAGCACGCAGACGGTAAACAGGAAATGCCATTCCCGTCTGGACCAATCAGCGGCGGCGTAGCTGCCGCTGATTGGTCCATTTGAACCGAGGTTAAAGCGAGGCACCAGTTTGAAGCAGATCCGCGGGCGAACCTCTTCACTGTACTGTCCCGGTGAGATCCAGCTTTTAAACACAACTTTTACACCGTTAAACCGACTACGACACGGACACACGCAGCGGGAGGCTCCGGTGTGAGGGCACAGAAGCGGCTGGAAGTGAGACATGTGCAAGGCTGTTGCAGTCTGCGCCGAAGCTAATGCTAATGCTAATGCTAACCGCTGTTTTGACTGGCTCCTTAGGATAAAGCTAACGACAGAGAAAGCTACTTACCCAACTTTATATTCTTTAAATGACCAAATAACCACGCACGTAACCACTGTGGTCAGCTGGGTGTTGCATTTAGAGGATTAGAAAACGTCTCAATTGTTATGAATAGGATACATCATCCGTGCGAGTCACTATTTGACGCTTTGGGATAGATATTGTCTGTAAAACCTGTTCTACTGCTGTGACATGAATAAAAACAGGCTATAGCAGTATACATGCACTCGGTTGGTCTTTGTTATTGTCCTTTGAATTTTGCCTTTTGCTAACGCTGGTTTTCCTGTAAATAAAACATGTGGTTTGTTGATCAGTAAATTGAGACTAGTTTCAACATGCTGTGTTTTAGAAACATGTTCTGTGTAGAATGTTACTATTTGACTATTTTGGTTGGGAGCAGAGGTTGGTCTTTGTTTTCCGTCTGAAAAAGCGGATCCAAAGATGAGACAGAAGCAGCTGTTTCAGAGCCAGATCTATCTTTGAGAGTTTTATTTGTGTGGTCTGAAAGTTACGTGCCCCAGCTTTAAAGACGGGTTTGATTTATTTAGAAATACAGTTTTAATACCATGTTATATTAGAAGAGAACTACTAAAGGTTTCAAAATAAGTTGTTTTTTTTGTCTGATCCCCCCAAATCCAAATAACCCCATAGCAACGCCCTTAGAAACGAAAAAACTTCACAGCCCTTGGTGACGTCAGAGTGGGTACGTTTCAACGCTGTAAGTTGTTTACAATTTGGTATTCGTTCTTTTTTCGCTGATATTCAAGATGACAAGGCCGTGTACAGCGAGTCTAAGATAACTACTAGAATGTAACATTTGTTGTCACTGAGATAGTCCAGTGGTTGTGTTGATGGACTGCCAATCCAGATACTTGGGTTCAAATCTCACCTCGGACACATTTTCACTCTCAAAACGGCAATTAATGTGTAGTGAGCAATTGTCACCTGTAGAGGGCAGTATTGTGTTGGGCATCAGTGGAGAGAAGAGAGAAAAGGCAGTCCTGTGGCATAGACGTCACACACAGGTTAGAGCATAGACAACTTAAATTCATGAAAAACACGTTCTTTTTATAAAATATAGGATTTTTTTTGCCGGAATCTCTTTCAAATTGACATTGTCATGCAATTTTGATATCCACTATTTTTTTTTTTTTAAACCCGTCATAAGGTCTTTAAGGACCCATACTGGATAAAATAATTACCTTTTATATGAATGTGTCTGAATAAAAGATGAACTGTATTTGCTTAGTGTTCTCTTTGTAAACGTGGTGGGACACACAATGGACAGAAAGAAGGTCTGGGGTTCAATTCCACCTCCAGGCCTGGAGTGGAGTTTGCACATTCTCCATGTGTCTGTTGGTTTCCTCCGTGTGCTCCGGTTGTAATGTAATGAGTGTGTTTGTCAACTCTTTCGTGGAGTGAATGGAAATGCTTGGTTTACTAAAATGGTGAACAGAGCCATGTATGACCTTGGTCTTTTAAATGCCCTATATATAAATAATATATAAAGTACTACCTAAAAAGGATGATGACTTTGTGGTCTGGGGTACGAACGGTCATGTGCCCTTTGAGGCTGTATAATTCCAGTGTAGGAATAGCCGCAAGTCACGCAACACAAAACTGTTAGTGAGTTTTTCAATGCAAGTCAATAGGAGTCGGAGCCATTTGCCGCAAAACTTTGTCCAAGAGCCCTTCCCTGTTGACCCACTTGAGCTAGCGGGTTAGCATTGTCCATCTGTACACAGGCGGTGGTTGAGGCATCAAACCAATTCAATGTCTTCTTGTATAGCCCTGAATCACAACCGTAGCTCCGGAGACTTTGGTGTTCTCCTGGTTTCCTTCAGGGCTGCTGTAGGTTAGTGTCTCGCTCTCCTGTGACCTCAGTCTGTGGAATGTGCTACATAATTAAAGAGGACTCTGTGTGTGGCAGGTGGTTGAGCAGAGAGCATCATGGAACAGGAGAAGGACCGATACGCTTTCGACGCTCCGTCAGAAGTGGTGGACCTCGCGGAGCTCCACAACGCCCCGTGTGACGACGACTGGTTCGGTGAGGGTCCTCGAGCTCCGCGGCTCCCACACACACACGTCTGAGTGCAGTTTGCATGTTCTCCCTATGTCTGCGGAGGTTTTTTCCAGGCGCTCCGGTTCCCCCTTCCGCTAAAACGTGTACAATAGTTCTGAATGTAGTGAGTGAAGGATGGAGATGGTCGGAGGCTCTGATGCACCAGGGTTCAGCTTACTTTACTGTTCTTACAAAACAATTTATTCTTGTATCGCCCTAAATCACAACAGCATCATCTCAGACTTAACAAAACCATTGAAATCACCAACACAGATCAGAGAATCAACAGTTAAGACACAGAAAATACACACTTATTGGACCATAGGGAGAGACCACTGTCCATAGAGTTGTAGTGTCCTGGATTATCGCCACAGTCCTTCTTGTTAGACGCTGTTACACCTTTTATTGAGAAATGGAAAGAATATGGACCTCTGAAAAACCTACCAAGACACGGCAATCTGCCTGAAAAGCCTGAGGGGAGCACTGATCAGAAATGGATGACTCTGGAGTTTCTGCCAGAAAATGATTTGAATGCTGTTTTCTGTTGTTTTTCCCACAAAGAAGGACTGGGGAAGGTCTAAGTCCTAAAGTGAGCGAGATGAAGTTGTTTAGCGTCGCACATAAATCGGGAGCGGAGGGTTTTGATGCTAACGAGTTTCAGCAGCTTTTCATCTTAAAGGTGCTGTAAGCGATTTTGTTAGCTTTGAAGAGTGGGCGGCAAACGTGAAATTGGCATTTTCGGTCATTTTAGGTTTTAGAAAATCCAATATTTTTATCTGTCCGCTCCAAAAAAAATATTTTTAATATATTTTTGGAGACTATAGGCATCTGGTTGATTCATTACTATTTGACAACACATGATAATTTGATACTTTTATGGGGGGTTCAGACCGCCCACGCCGGAACGCAGTTTCCGCGCTCATCAGACGCACATTCTCTACTTGACTCGACTTTATATAACAGCAGTATGTGTTCACGGTGACTTTATATAACAGCAGTATGTGTTCACGGAGGTGACTTTATATAACAGCAGTATGTGTTCACGGAGGTGACTTTATATAACAGCAGTATGTGTTCACGGAGGAGACTTTATATAACAGCAGTATGTGTTCACGGAGGAGACTTTATATAACAGCAGTATGTGTTCACGGAGGTGACTTTATATAACAGCAGTATGTGTTCACGGTGACTTTATATAACAGCAGTATGTGTTCACGGAGGTGACTTTATATAACAGCAGTATGTGTTCACGGAGGTGACTTTATATAACAGTAGTATGTGTTCACGGTGACTTTATATAACAGCAGTATGTGTTCACGGAGGTGACTTTATATAACAGCAGTATGTGTTCACGGAGGTGACTTTATATAACAGCGGTATGTGTTCACGGAGGTGACTTTATATAACAGTAGTATGTGTTCACGGTGACTTTATATAACAGCAGTATGTGTTCACGGTGACTTTATATAACAGCAGTATGTGTTCACGGTGACTTTATATAACAGCAGTATGTGTTCACGGAGGTGACTTTATATAACAGCAGTATGTGTTCACGGAGGTGACTTTATATAACAGCAGTATGTGTTCACGGAGGTGTCTTTATATAACAGCAGTATGTGTTCACGGAGGTGACTTTATATAACAGTAGTATGTGTTCACGGAGGTGACTTTATATAACAGCAGTGTGTGTTCACGGAGGTGACTTTATATAACAGCAGTATGTGTTCACGCAATAAGTTTATTTTATTATTAAACGGTGTTTCCGCATCAAGAACACACTCAAATCAGTTGTAAACAGTCACAGATGAAAACACAGATGTTCACAAGCACTGTGTCCCTCATTGTCAACCCTGGTTTAGTCCTGGTTTAGTCCTGGTTTAGTCCTGGTTTAGTCCTGGTTTAGTCCTGGTTTAGTCCTGGTTTAGTCCTGGTTTAGTCCTGGTTTAGTCCTGGTTTAGTCCTGGTTTAGTCCTGGTTTAGCTCCTGTTTCGCTCGCTCAGACACTAATGTCCCCGTGACCACTGTGCAGCTCTCTGATTGGTCGCTGCTCGAGCGTCCGAGGAAACGCTCAGCAATATTTATCTCCTGCGTGTGTCATTTTTCTGCTCCTGCTCCTGTTCCGCGCTGTCCGTGCGTCCCGAGACGCACACGCAGTTCCACGCTCGAACGCGCGTCACCATTGACGTTGTATTGAAGTTGCATGATCCAGTCTGAGCGCGGCTTAAAAGTTTAGGCACGTTTTCCCCCAATGCGTCTGGAAAAAATCACTGGCTGCATTTTTAAGTTCTTCAACCAAAGTTGGCAACAACACGTCTGTGAGGCTATTTTTTTTCGGAGGAAACCCACTTCTGCAGCTGAGATTTCTTTGGTCCTATTTCTCATTCTTAATATTTTAGCTTGTTTCTAATGATGTTTGTGTTGTGTACAGAGAAGCGAGAGAGCGGAGGCCTGAGCTCGTCTCTGACTGAAACTCCGCACAGAGAGACTCCACTGGCCTCAGGTTTGGATTTACATTTTGTCACCAATACTTTAGCTTTCACTGCACATGTGTCAAAACGCACAGCATCTAAAGGACACGTGTAGACGGACGGCTTTTCTACTGTAGTAAATACTTTTTCACGCCTGAGACCTATTTTTTGTCTTTGGAATGTCCCAGATCACCTCTCCACATCACCATTAGCGTGTTTTAGCCGTCTTAGCTAGCAGAGCCGACAGGAGGGTGCCATCTTTACAGTCTCAGTTCTAACAGATGTGTTTAGTTGCAGATGCTCCTCCTTCAAACATCGTGACGTCGTGGGGAAGCTCCAAACCCTCCACCAGTCTCCAGCCACAGAGGTACAGCCTGCCACAGCCGCTCCATGTGGGGGCTCAGGGTCTAAAGCTGGGGCACTGCCATAGAGCGTACATCCTTTTTAACATGAGCTGCCCTTGTTACTGCCTATAGCTAAGACATCACATATAAACACCAGGACCACAGAGGGCAGTTAACCACAGATTTAAGCCCAAAATAGTGACAGTTAATGAGCTAGAGTTTTTTACATGGAAGTCAAAATGAGCCAAACTTCATCCTGAGCATTTCCCTGTCAGGCGTCGTTAAGCTAGCGTGTTAGCATTGTCCATGTGTATTGTAGAGTGTAAACAGACGTAGTCACGCCTATCTCCGCCGTTATATGCCACAACTTCCGCGGTCTATGGGCAGTTTAGAAATGGCCGCGGGGGTTGGAAAATGTGAAGAAGAAAAAAAACTGCACGAGCCCCATTCATTTAAACGAGTGCATTCCAAAGTCCACAGCGACTAAACTAGAGTGGTCCAAGAAAATGCTATATGTTAGCATGGGCTAATTCTTATTCGGGGTCCACTCCCACAGGCCTGGGGTTGTATTGCAGCGCACGTCATTTTGGCCACTTTTGAGCCGGGGACCCACCCCCACTTATCTGTATACTGTCTATGGGTGCAATATCCACAGTGTTCTGACCCAAATGTGTTTTTTAGAGTGTCCAAACGCAAGATGGAGGAGAGTGGTCCTCCGGAGAAGAAGCAGAGGAAGTAAGTGGAGACTGTCACATGTGGCCGCTGGTTCAGATTCAGTTTGAGCTAATGACCACATGTCTCTGCAGGAATCCCGAAGCCCAGCCCCTCCGGAGGTCCGCCCGCAGGAGCCCACAGGGACCTGCCCTCCGGAGGTCCGCCCGCAGGAGCCCACAGGGACCAGAGAGGAAGCCCACCACTGTCCCCAAAAGTCTGAGAGCCACAAAGAGCACCTCCTGCCTGCCCTCCACCTCTACCTCCACAGAGTGAGTCCAGGAGAGAGTCCTGCTCTGTGTGTGAGGGAGGGAGGGACCAGGGAGGGAGGGAGGAGGGAGAGACCTTAGAGAGGGGTAGGCCAGCTGGAAATTGCTGATCATGCCAAGAGCTGGATATCTCAGCTCTTGGACTGAGCAATCTTCAGGGAAAGCCATGTTCCAGCTTCTTCCCTCTGGCAGAAGATATTATTGGCTGAGACGCTAACATGCTAACATATGTTCTCAGTCTGAACAAAGCACTTTCTTGAGCTTGTATTGAAGATTTTTGTTGATGGTTTCACAGATGATTGTTTCTGTACTTTATCTTTTCTTTTATTACTCTACTTGTCTGATGCACAGTGGGACTCTCGCGCGTGTAGTCCAATAGGGTTTGACTGCAGATGTAAACTGACTGTGTGTGTGTGTGTGTGTGTGTGTGTGTGTGTGTGTGTGTGTGTGTGTGTGTGTGTGTGTGTGTGTAGGCTGTCCTCGGAGGAGATGGAGGTGCAGAGGATGAAGCAGCTGCAGAGAGAAGTGGCTCTGCACCGGAAGAAGAACGAGGCCAGTTACAAAGCAGCGTTAGCCGGGAGTGAGTACCAGACCAGCAGCGCCTCCCACAGGCCCTCACCGGGACCGCACCCGAGCCCTGTCGCTAACACCACGTTCTCTCTCTCTCCGTCAGATCCTCCGCCCGTGAAGCTCGCCATCGCCCCCACGATCCCCCGAGAGTTCAACTTCAAGACCGACGCCAGAATCAAGTCTGTCCCAAACAACAGCACGACCAGAGACGAGACCTTCATCCAGCAGCTGCGCAAACCCTACTCTCCCGTCAGTACTCTCTCGTCTCTCTCGCTCTCTCGTCTCTCTCGCTCTCTCTGGTCTGTCCTCTCTCTGGTCTGTCCTCTCTCTGGTCTGTCCTCTCTCTGGTCTGTCCTCTCTCTGGTCTCGCTCTCTCTCTGGTCTCGCTCTCTCTCTGGTCTCGCTCTCTCTCTGGTCTCGCTCTCTCTCTGGTCTGTCCTCTCTCGCTCTCTCTCTGGTCTGTCCTCTCTCGCTCTCTCTCTGGTCTGTCCTCTCTCTGGTCTGTCCTCTCTCTGGTCTGTCCTCTCTCTGGTGTCTCTCGCTCTGTTCAAATCAGTAGTTGTGTGTTGCAGGTGAAGGCGTCTAAAGGAGCCACGGTTCCCAAACCCTTCAACTTGTCATCGAGCCGCAGCAGGAAGGAGAGCGCCCCCTACGTGCCCATGGCTCAGCAGATACAAGAGTTCCAGAAGAGGACCCCCGAGCGCTACCACCAGCCCAGCCGCCAGGCCACCCAGAGAGGTCCGAGCTGCTCCATGAACCTCTACCTAATGTCTAGGTCTAACTGGTCTCTCTCTCTGTGTCTGGTCTCTCTCTCTGTCCCGCTCTGGGCTCTCTCTGTGTCTGATCTCTCTCTCTCTGTCCCGCTCTGGGCTCTCTCTCTCCATGTGATTATTTTCTTAAAATCCAGTTTGTTTTGAAAATGTCGACCAAATGATTGAAGGCCTTTGCCTGAGCACAGTTTAAACAGATAAAAGTTTATGATCTAACTGGTCTCTCTCAGGCCCCTCCCCGGTGAAGGCCACCCACAGACCCACAGTGAAGGAGCCCACGGTCCCTGAGGGCTTCCAGCTGCAGATCGAGAAGAGGCTCCAGGAGAGACAGGCCAAGAAGCCTCCCCCAGAGGAGGAGGAGGAGGAGCCCCCACATCTGTTCAAATCTCAGCCTGTGTCCAAGAAGATGCTGGAGGGAGTGGTGGTGAGAAACCCCCCTGTGCACTGCAGGATCTCACTCTACACTGGACTCTTGTCTCTGGTCTCTGGTCTCTGACTCTGGTCTCAGTGTAGTCCTTTTCTCTCAGGGCGTCCCAGAGAAGAAGCTTCCGTCTCTCACTGTCCCAGAGTCTCCTGCGTTTGCTCTGAAGAAGAGGATCCGACTGGAGCCGCCTCAGGTCCAGGTGAGAACACACATGTAGGCGCACACACACACTCACGCCCTCCCCCACACACACACACCCTCCCCCACACACACACGCCCTCCCCCACACACACACGCCCTCCCCCACACACTCTCCCCCTCACCATCCTCTCTCTGTGCTCAGCAGGTGAAGCCGCCCTCCCCCATCAGAGGCCCCCCCGTCCCCCACTTCGGCCTCCCCTTCCAGCCTAAGCTCCCGGAGCAGCACCAGGTGGAGCTGTGTCCTTTCTCCTTCGACCGGAGAGAGCAGGAGAGGAGAGCGCTGAAGGAGAAGAGGCTGCAGCAGCTGCGCAACCAGGAAGTGAGTCCACTGCACTGTGACAGCGCCGCCATAGTGTGACGTCACTGCCGCAATTACACCAGGATCATAAACTGAGCTCTAAAACAGATTTTTTTTCTCTCGGGCTCTCTCTCTCTCTCTCGGGCTCTCTCTCTCTCTCTCGGGCTCTCTCTCTCGGGCTCTCTCTCTCGGGCTCTCTCTCGGGCTCGCTCTCTCTCTCGGGCTCGCTCTCTCTCTCTCTCGGGCTCGCTCTCTCTCTCTCTCGGGCTCGCTCTCTCTCTCTCTCGGGCTCGCTCTCTCTCTCTCTCGGGCTCGCTCTCTCTCTCTCTCGGGCTCGCTCTCTCTCTCGGTCTCTCTCTCTCGGGCTCTCTCTCTCTCTCGGTCTCTCTCTCTCTCTCGGGCTCTCTCTCGGGCTCTCTCTCTGGCTCTCTCTCTCTCTCGGGCTCTCTCTCTCTCTCTCGGGCTCTCTCTCTCTCTCTCTCTCTCTCTCTCTCTCGGGCTCTCTCTCTCTCTCTCGGGCGGCTCTCTCTCTCTCTCTCTCTCTCTCGGGCTCTCTCTCTCTCTCTCTCTCTCTCTCGGTCTCTCTCTCGGGCTCTTTCTCGGGCTCTCTCTCGGGCTCTCTCTCTCGGTCTCTCTCTCTCTCGGGCTCTCTCTCTCTCTCTCTCTCGGGCTCTCTCTCTCGGGCTCTCTCTCTCTCTCGGGCTCTCTCTCTCGGGCTCTCTCTCTCGGGCTCTCTCTCTCGGGCTCTCTCTCTCGGGCTCTCTCTCTCGGGCTCGCTCTCTCTCTCTCGGGCTCGCTCTCTCTCTCTCTCGGGCTCGCTCTCTCTCGGGCTCTCTCTCTCGGTCTCTCTCTCTCGGGCTCTCTCTCTCTCTCGGTCTCTCTCTCTCTCTCGGGCTCTCTCTCTGGCTCTCTCTCGGGCTCTCTCTCTGGCTCTCTCTCTGGCTCTCTCTCTGGCTCTCTCTCTGGCTCTCTCTCTGGCTCTCTCTCTCTCTCGGGCTCTCTCTCTCTCTCTCGGGCTCTCTCTCTCTCTCTCTCTCTCTCTCTCTCTCTCTCGGGCTCTCTCTCTCGGGCTCTCTCTCTCTCTCTCTCGGGCTCTCTCTCTCGGGCTCTCTCTCTCTCTCTCGTGCTCGCTCTCTCGCTCTCTCTCTCTCTCTCTCTCTCTCTCGGCTCTCTCTCTCGGGCTCTCTCTCTCGGTCTCTCTCTCTTTCGGGCTCTCTCTCTCTCTCGGGCTCTCTCTCGGGCTCTCTCTCTCTCTCTCGGGCTCTCTCTCTCTCTCGGGCTCTCTCTCTCTCTCTCTCTCTCTCTCTCGGGCTCGCTCTCTCTCTCTCTCTCGGGCTCGCTCTCTCTCGGGCTCTCTCTCTCTCGGGCTCTCTCTCGGTCTCTCTCTCTCTCTCGGTCTCTCTCTCTCGGTCTCTCTCTCTCTCTCTCTCTCTCTCTCTCTCGGGCTCGCTCTCTCTCTCTCGGGCTCGCTCTCTCTCTCTCTCTCTCTCTCGGTCTCTCTCTCTCGGGCTCTCTCTCCCTCTCTCGGGCTCTCTCTCTCTCTCGGGCTCTCTCTCTCTCTCTCTCGGGCTCTCTCTCGCTCTCTCGCTCTCTCGCTCGCTCTCTCGCTCGCTCTCTCCTTCTTGTATTTATGGCTATGTTCAGACTGGGGCGTCCTGTGAAAACTGTGGGATTAAAAACATTCCTCGGTCCCAAAGCCTTAAAGGAATAGTTCAGTTTTTACATACTGACATATGTTCTTACCTTAGACTAGTTAATACGTACCTGTGTGATCTTAGTCCGTGCGCTCTGTCATGCAAACAGAGTAAAAACGGAGCACAAACGCAGCCTCCTCTGTATACTGTATAGTACCCAAAAGGTAGCTCCCGCTAGAAGCTACCAAACTCTTCCAAGTGTTCCCTATTAAATGTATATAGTTACGTGACGTGTTACACTGCAAAGTATAGTAACACAGAAATGTAACTGTCGATTTTCTCAGCGGATAAAACGGGTACTATATTGTGAGGCGTAGTAATCTGAGGAGCGCTACGTCCGCGCACTAACTTCTCTCCGGAGACTTCTCTCTCGCTCACTTCCGTCAATAGAAGCAGCGTGACTTGTAGTACGGAGAGAGACTAAGACCAGACAGGTACGTATTAACTAGTCTAAGGTAAGGTAAGAACATATGTCAGTATGTAAAAACGGTGAACTATTCCTTTAAAGTTATGTTTTAATAATAAAAGTGTTAAAACCAGAGAATGTTCTGTGCGAATATTAAACGATCCATAGAAACAATTAAAAGTAAAAATACTTGGTGGGAATGGGTCCCTCGGGTTTAACCTTGTTTCCACAGCCTCCTGTGTCGCTCTCTCTCTGACCTTCAGCTCTGTCTGTCTCTGTGGCCTTTGCTCATGATGCTTGTTCTACCAGTGTCTGTGATGTCGCACACCGTAATGAGCTGCAGCCCGTTCAGGAGCTGGTGTTGCCCTTTAGTAAAGTGCTTTTTCAGTCTCTGCGCTGACTCTTCAGTGTCTGTTGGGTCGATGGGGTGTCCAAACTTTTATTAAAAGCCCCACTTTAGTTCATCAGACAAGTCCAGGGCCTTCTAGCCTGACTCTGGCCAGACCCTTGTAGTTCCGCCATGCTCCACCAGAGCCGCTAGTCTGGTCCAGTGTGGACGGGTCCTGGCTCAAAAGTGCGCTGACATGCTGCAATACCACCCCGGGCCGATGGGAGTGGACCCAGAATAAGAATTGGCCAATGCTAACATATAGCATTAGCTGACTTCTGGAAAACATCTTTACAGGATGGACCAAAAGTTGTCTCTTGGCCCAAAGCTCCGTTCCACATGTGTGTCAATGCTGAGTGTTCTGGACCAGTCTAGTTTAGTCGCTGTGGACTTTAGAAGTCTCTCGTTTAAATGAATGGGGCTCGTACAGATACGTTTTTTTCATTTTCCAGCCCCCGCGGCCATTTTGAATCACTCCATGAAAGCCCAATTTTTGGCCCATTAGAACGGCGGAGATAGACGTGACTACGTCCGTTAATTTACAGTCTGAGCTGAACACAAGGGTCTGGGATCGATGCCAATGCAAACTCCTTCAGGAGATCAACAATTAATCGGCCAATCAGGATCGTCGGGTTTGCTCCGCCTTCTCAAGCGTGTCTCAGGCGCCAGCAAAAGAAATCCAAGATGGCGGACATAAAGTCTGTATTTGTCAAAGTTTGAATACAAACGAGTTAAGACACGGATGTCACTTTTAATGCAATATGAGGCGAGATGTTGATGGTTCCGTGTGTTTTAAGAGTCAAATGTTGGTGTAAAGTTTGGTTTAAGTGTTCCTGTTTACAACACTATGCAGCAGGGTTGCTGAATCATGTGCTTCGATGTGAGTGGTTGATGGAACACGTCATTCAAGATAACGGACAAGTGGTTTATCCAATCACAGACAAGGATTTTTTTTTTTTTTTACAAGGTCCGCCTTTTGAAATGTATCCACTATGGATTAGACCCAGACCTTTGTGTGAAGCTCAGAGATCAGGCTAAGTCCCATACATGGATCTATAACAGTGGTTCTCCAACTTTTTACACCAAGTACCCCCTCAGAAAATACTGGCCTCTCCAAGTACCACCACAAATGACCAACACCACACAGTAGCGTATTCATCAAAAACAAGGCAGAGGTTTCATTCCTAAAGAAGTATATTTAATGTAACATTTTACAGTTTCAACAGTGATATAAAATATATTCATTACGAACTGCAAAGCCTCACTGTGAGTGACTTTAGTTTCTAAGGCTTGGTCTGCTGCCCTCTGACATCTGTCGTTTACTCAGAGACATGTTCATGTTTGGATCAAATGATCTTTTGTTGCTCTCTGTTCCTTTTGCACAGAACTGGGAAAAAGCTTTTGTACATGCTGCTCCTTCTACATGGAACGTGTTGCAAAAAGACTGGAAATGATCTGATCTTATTTCCTTGAATGCTTTTAGATCCAGATTGAGACATCTTCAGTGAAATGTAACTGTTTTTATAATCCGTAATTTAATGAAATTGTGTGCGACTTTCATAATCTGTAATTGTAAATTTTTGTAAAAAGAGGTTCTCATTGACTGGCAGCCATTGTTGATGACTTCACTGATTTTCAAGACTCACAGAATATTGTGTGCTATGACTATGAATAATATGAAACCAGAGTCTAAAAGACTGGACTGTCTACTTTCAGCAGCAAAATTACATTTGTTCTTAGTTTGTTTAGTTCTCCTGTGATCTCCAGTCCAAAAGAGGAGTGTGACAAAAAGCACCAGTCTTAGACAAAAATGAAAACAGACAAACCTGCAGAAAGTGACCAACACTATTTAATTTAACTTTAGAATCTCCTCAAACATGTCCAGGATCTTGCATGTTAGAAAATATGCATGTTCTCCCCGTGTCTGCGTAGGTTTCCTCCGGGTGCTCTGGTTTCCCCTACCACTAAAAACATGTACAATAGGTCTGGCATCTGCCTCCTGTACTGGCCCCGCTCCCATCTCTGTGTGGAGTGAGAGACAAGTGCCCAAAAATAACAATTGTAAACCGCTTTGTGACTCTGGTCTGTGAAAGGCGCTATATAAATAAAGATTACTTACTTGCATAAGTGCAATAGAATACTGTTGTCTTTGTGTGTTTGGGCGCGCAAATATACAGTATGCGTTTATGCATACTTTTGTGTAGTTACATCTACAGAGTGTCGTTCTGTTTAGTCCAGCGAGCGCTGTGACCATAACTGGACTTCACCGCTGGCTCCTGGTGCGGACTCAGTGATAGTTTTAGTGATAGTCAACTTTTCTGTGGCTTTTTTGGGGTGCACCGCTGGTCTGCTGCTCTGACCCTCCACATGGTCGTCTGCTCTGACCCTCCACATGGTCTGCTGCCCTGACCCTCCACATGGTCTGCTGCCCTGACCCTCCACATGGTCTGCTGCCCTGACCCTCCACATGGTCTGCTGCCCTGACCCTCCACATGGTCTGCTGCTCTGACCCTCCACATGGTCTCTGCTCTGACCCTCCACATGGTCTGCTGCCCTGACCCTCCACATGGTCTGCTGCCCTGACCCTCCACATGGTCTGCTGCCCTGACCCTCCACATGGTCTGCTGCCCTGACCCTCCACATGGTCGTCTGCTCTGACCCTCCACATGGTCTGCTGCCCTGACCCTCCACATGGTCGTCTGCTCTGACCCTCCACATGGTCTGCTGCCCTGACCCTCCACATGGTCTGCTGCTCTGACCCTCCACATGGTCTGCTGCCCTGACCCTCCACATGGTCGTCTGCTCTGACCCTCCACATGGTCTGCTGCCCTGACCCTCCACATGGTCTGCTGCTCTGACCCTCCACATGGTCTGCTGCCCTGACCCTCCACATGGTCTGCTGCCCTGACCCTCCACATGGTCTGCTGCCCTGACCCTCCACATGGTCTGCTGCCCTGACCCTCCACATGGTCTGCTGCCCTGACCCTCCACATGGTCTGCTGCCCTGACCCTCCACATGGTCTGCTGCCCTGACCCTCCACATGGTCTGCTGCCCTGACCCTCCACATGGTCTGCTGCCCTGACCCTCCACATGGTCTGCTGCCCTGACCCTCCACATGGTCGTCTGCCCTGACCCTCCACATGGTCTGCTGCCCTGACCCTCCACATGGTCTGCTGCCCTGACCCTCCACATGGTCTGCTGCCCTGACCCTCCACATGGTCGTCTGCTCTGACCCTCCACATGGTCGTCTGCTCTGACCCTCCACATGGTCTGCTGCCCTGACCCTCCACATGGTCGTCTGCTCTGACCCTCCACATGGTCGTCTGCTCTGACCCTCCACATGGTCGTCTGCTCTGACCCTCCACATGGTCTGCTGCCCTGACCCTCCACATGGTCGTCTGCTCTGACCCTCCACATGGTCGTCTGCTCTGACCCTCCACATGGTCGTCTGCTCTGACCCTCCACATGGTCTCTGTCAGCTCTGGAGACACATTTACTGGTCAAACTGCCTCCAAATGTAGCCTGACCCTGACCTTATTCCTCCATGTCTGCTTCACCTCTGTCTCTCCTGCTCAGTGCTCAGGCAATGATCTTTGACCAAACCAGGGAGCTCTGCTGCCACCTGCTGGCCTAATAAAATACTGTCTACATTCAAACCCCAGACTGTATGATACAGGGGACAGACTGACAGGAAAAGATTGAATGAAAAACAATGTTGACATCAATGGCTGTCAATGAGTTAATCTCAATGAGACTTTTTTTTTTTTTTTTTTCATTGATTCTTTGGCGTACCCCTAGAGGGCGCCCGCGTACCATTGGGCTGTTCTGAGATTTAAAATGATCTATGACAGAGCTGAAGTTGGCTGAATGACACATGTTTACATCTCACCAGTTACAGTAGGACCATTAATGGAACTTTGACACAATTCAAGAACCACGTCAGACATTAACGTTGTCAGGAGAAACTAAAGGTTTTGGACGGAGATGTGCGGCGTCTTAGAAAGTTCCGGATCCTGAAGTGAAGAATAACTTTAACCCATTCAGGCGGGAACGCATTTCTACCTCTGAGAGAATTGGTTTAAAAAAGATGAACCAGGGAGGAACATTTTCTGCAGTTCCGAGATTTCCGATTTTTTTTCCGTTTTTTTCCTGCTGGAAAAAGTCATTTCTGTGACGGTTGGCATTTTCTGTTTGCTGTACGTATAAACGGGATTCACATCCTCCGTTCTGACCCGGGGCAGCTGCGACCGCTTTGTGCTGACAGCTCAGCGAACGCTGAATGTGGGCCATGGCCTTCCCCAGTTTGTTGAGATGCCTCCCCCGTGTCTCCTTCCGAACCGCAACCAAAACTCAATTAAAGCTCGGGTACTAAAGAGTGGATTTTTTGATTTTCTTTATTTTTCCCTCAGTTTGTGCCTCTTTGTCGCCAAACTCCTGTCAAGTCATTGTTTAAGAATTATTTGGGCAAGAAACTTTTGATATTGGGCAACAGTGGTTCAGATGAAGATCTTTGGCCTTTGAGGCTGAAGGTCGTGTTCATGATCTGGAGGACTACTTTGGGTTAGCAAGGCAGAAGGCCATCCCTGGTGTATGCTAATGTCCCTCTGGTCCCTATGCTCCTCAGGTCCCTAAGTTCAAGGCCCAGCCTCTGCCAGACTTCAGTGAAGTGGCGCTGCCAGAGAAGAAGAAACCAGAAGTCACCAAACCAGAACCCTTCAACCTAATCATCGACACCAGAGGAGCAGAGAAGACCAGCCGCTTCGAAAACAAGGTCTGTCTCCTCTAACCCTCTGCAAACATGCCCTGGTCCTGGTCCTGGTCCTGGTCCTGGTTCCTGGTCTGATGCTGGTGTGTTGCTGGTGCAGGTGCAGGAGGAGCAGAAGCAGCGGGAGGAGGCCACACAGTTCAAAGCTCGACCCAACGTCGTGACGCACAAGGAGCCGTTTAAACCAAAGGAGCGCGGAGACACCAGTGAGTGAGGACCAGGAGGCACCTGGGGAGGGGGCTCCTGCTGTGTGTATAACCTGTGTGGTGCTGTATCCAGGTTGTGTTGTGGCCCCTGGCTTCCAGCTGCTGACCGAGCGCAGAGCTCTGGAGCGACAGGACTTTGAGCGACGAGTGAACGAGAAGGAGGCACTGAGGGCTCTGATGGAGGAGCAGCAGAGGAGAGAGGAGGAGGAGAGGGAGAGGGAGGAGATCACACGGCTGCGGCAGGAGCAGGTGAGAAGGATGGGAGAGAGGGAGGTCACAGGGCTGCGGCAGGAGCAGGTGAGGAGAAGGATGGGAGAGGAGAGGGGGAGGTCACACGGCTGTGGCAGGAGCAGGTGAGGAGAAGGATGGGAGAGGAGAGGGGGAGGTCACACGGCTGTGGCAGGAGCAGGTGACCAGGAGGTCCTAATGCTCAGGGACTGCACTCACACTTTAAGGCCCTTGGAGCTCCCATAATGCCTTAGGACCAGGAGTGTCCCATAATGCCTTAGGACCAGGAGTGTCCCATAATGCATTAGGACCAGGAGTGTCCCATAATGCCTTAGGACCAGGAGTGTCCCATAATGCATTAGGACCAGGAGTGTCCCATAATGCATTAGGACCAGGAGTGTCCCATAATGCATTAGGACCAGGAGTGTCCCATAATGCATTAGGACCAGGAGTGTCCCATAATGCATTAGGACCAGGAGTATTATAAATCCAGGGCTGTCCGAATTGGGACAGGCCCTGGATTTATAATAACTTACAATTCGAAATGTATTCAATAACTGCAAATCAAATGGTTAGCTCCCAAAGGTTCCACCGGGCTGTGCTAGGCAGGTAACCGCTAAGCTAGTTCCCTGGAACTACATGTTAATGGTTACTTCTGGGTTTTCGCGATCGCTTTTTGTCACATTAAAATAGTAATTTTTTCATCCCCCTGTCCTGCCCACTGCCTTTTTGCACAGTACATGAAGGCCGCGGTCTGATATTTCTCCACACAGACCATGTGTACTGTATTGTCCGATTTAATGGTGTTGATCGATATGTAGTTGATTATTGAGCGTGGCTAGCTCTGCTAGCTTCTCTCGTTGTACTTGCAGAGTAATGGCAGTATTTTACACACCTGAATTACAGAGATTGCGTTGCCAAAGGGCAGCGGTCATTATTGATTTGAGAGTTCTGTTATCAAGAAAAAATGATCGGTAGAATTACATTCGAGTCAATGGCGTGTTCTGCTGCTGCTGTGTGGAGCTGTATAATTAAATATTAGAATATATTCTAATGTTTTAATGAATAAATTCGGATGCAAAACTAGCAGTATTCTTTAACTTGTATATTGTGTTAGCAGTGCGTTGCTTTAGAACCGTTTCATCTGTGATTGTTGTACAGCTTACAAGAAGTTGTGCTAATGCTAATGTTAGCATACATGTCAGATCGCAATTTGCTTGCTTGCAATTGACGTCACGTCCGCCTCATTACGTATGCGTATCACGAAGTGGTCAGCCCAGCTCGTTGTTCACTAGAGCAGCGTGTCTGAATATACCTTTTGCATGTGTTGTTTTAAGTTTTCTAACCGATCGAATCTCAAAACCTTTTAATGGATACTTTAGGATTCCTTGTGAAGAGATGAATAAAGAGGCTCGCACTAAGGACTTTACGAAAAGACGCAGGAAAAGTGTCTCGCTAACATTTCACTGCAAACGCTTTTACCTCTAAGGATTATTTATTTACCCTGCCATGCAGTCACAATGTGCTGTTATTACATCCCATCTTTGTTTCATTCATTGTCGGGGATGAGTCGGCGTTTTAAATAAACACTGTGAATGTTTGACCTGAAAAGAACACAGCCACAGACGCAGTGTTTAGTTGAGAATGATAAGTTCTTTCACCAATCGTTACTCACTCGGCTCTGTACGATGCAGGATGTGTCCTTCAGGACCTTAACTCCGAGCTCCTTAATCCACAGACGGAAAAGTGGCAGAATCCATGTTTATCCAAACCTTCATTTGTTTAGCAGTGCAAAAGCTTGACTGTAAGACTAACTGTGGATTAGAATGTAAAGTGAATAAATGACAGTCTAGGATCTTGTCTTTAATTCAGACAGAAGACATGTTTTATTGTCGATGGTAGAGGCATAAACAAAGACGTTACAGAATGTAAGTAACATACAGCGGAGGAATGAAGACTTATTAGCATATTAGCATTGTATGCTACATGTGCCAGTAGCTTCAACCTTGATATTACCAAAACATGAAATATCCAAAAAAGCAAAAAATACTCGGGAGAGTTGCATTTTCTTCATATATCAGCAGCAACTCTTGCTGTCCTGACACCACTTCGTCAACCGGAAGTTTATGCGTCACGTGACTGCAAGCAAGCAATTGAGCTAGATGGCTCTGTGTTATGAGAGCGCAGGGGAAATGAGAAGCCTGTGAGCGAGTTGGGGGCGGGGCTAAACATTCAAACCTTACAGAAACGGGTATAGCACCTTTAAGTGTATTACCCAAGGACACAACAGCAGACAGTGGGAGTCGATGGAGAAAGTCGGGCTTGAACCCATGACCTTCTGGCTCAAAGGCAAACGCTCTACCAACTGAGCCACTGGTGTTCTGTATCAGACGACAGAAGATGCTGAGTGTGTTGTTGTTGTTGCAGGTGCACAAGGCACAGCCGGTAAAGCACTACCGCTGTGTGAAACTGAAGAAGAGCGAGACGCCGCTGACGCTGCCGCAGTCTCCAAACTTCTCCGATCGCTTCCGGATGTGACTCTTTTATATATTTTAATGTTTTACGTTTTTATTCTTTGTCTTTTATTACTAAAGTCCGTATTAAACTGTACAAAACCTCAGTCTGTGTTCTTCATGAAGATGGGTCTGAGAGACTGGGGGGTCCTGAGAGAGACTGGGGGGGTCCTGAGAGAGACTGGGGGGGTCCTGAGAGAGACTGGGGGGGTCCTGAGAGAGACTGGGGGGGTCCTGAGAGAGACTGGGGGGGGTCCTGAGAGAGACTGGGGGGGGTCCTGAGAGAGACTGGGGGGGGTCCTGAGAGAGACTGGGGGGGGTCCTGAGAGAGACTGGGGGGTCCTGAGAGACTTATGAACTATTATTAAACTAGACTGTTTCTGGAGTGGAGTTTGCATGTTCTCCGCATGTCTGCTCGGGTTTCCTCCATGTACAGTAGTGACTGCGCCCCCTGCTGGAGGGGTGGACTGAGTGCTATATAAATAAATGCAACAGTCCTCATAGAAAACAACTTTATTCAAGTGGAAACAAAACTGACTCTTTACAAATATATTCCAAAAACCCGAGACTGCGTCCTGAAGCAGTCTCCGGCATTAAAGCTGAGGTCTGTAACTTTACTGAGACCAGAAGACTTGATTTAGGGCTAAACAAGAATGGTTTTATTCTCTCATTGTGCTCTGAAAGTTATGACCCTCAGCTTTAAAACATCTCTGTTTTCTACTCTATGTCGTTGAAAAAAAAAAACCGTAAGACATTCATGATTTGAAATGTTTTTTTTGGCCAAAGTGACGTTTGAAGCTTGTGGCCTGTGCAGCGGGGACAGTCCGGGCGGTCTCCCATCACCTGCACTATCCTCCATAATAAATACGTTTCCCTGAAGAACCGTGAGGTCAGTCTGGTCTTGAGTCTCTGGTCTTTGGTCTTAGGTCCGGTCTCAGTTCTTGGGTCCGCTCATAGGTCGTTGGTCACTGGTCTTGGGTCCGGTCATGGGTCTTTGGTCACTGGTCTTGGGTCCGGTCTAAGGGTCCACAAAGGTGACGGCGATGTAGCGGACGCCGTGTGTGGTGGGCAGGCCTTCGTGGTAGTGCGTGAGGCGTCCAGGATGCATCAGAGCCCAGCCTTTACGAGGAGACGTCACTGCACAGTCATATCTGATGAACCTGCAGCCCCCGCCCTGAGGAGAGGACCAGGAGATACCAGGTGAAGACCAGGAAGGAAAATCAGGAGACACCGGGTGAAGACCAGGAGAGAGAACCAGGAGACACAAGGTGAAGACCAGGAGAGGTGTGAGAGACCAGAGAGAGAGATGATGTTGATGGTTCTTACCTGGAAGTCTTTGCCCACATGGTTCAGGGCCAGGTTGATGGTGAAGGTAGATGCGTCGTGGTGCGGCCGCAGAGACGGCTGCTCATCTGGTTTGTACCGAACCACGAAGGCCAAGTCAAACTGAGCCTGGAACCAGAGACACACACCAGGTGAGAGAGAGACCAGAGAGTGTGACATCACCCTATCAGAGTGCTCTTACCCTGGTGTAGTATCCGAGTACTCTTACCCTGGTGTTGTATCCGAGTACTCTTACCCTGGTGTTGTATCCGAGTGCTCTTACCCTGGTGTTGTATCCGAGTGCTCTTACCCTGGTGTAGTATCCGAGTACTCTTGCCCTGGTGTAGTATCCGAGTACTCTTGCCCTGGTGTAGTATCCGAGTACTCTTACCCTGGTGTTGTATCCGAGTACTCTTACCCTGGTGTTGTATCCGAGTACTCTTACCCTGGTGTTGTATCCGAGTACTCTTACCCTGGTGTTGTATCCGAGTACTCTTACCCTGGTGTAGTATCCGAGTACTCTTACCCTGGTGTTGTATCCGAGTACTCTTACCCTGGTGTTGTATCCGAGTACTCTTACCCTGGTGTTGTATCCGAGTACTCTTACCCTGGTGTTGTATCCGAGTGCTCTTACCCTGGTGTAGTATCCGAGTGCTCTTACCCTGGTGTTGTATCAGAGTATTCTTACCCTGGTGTTGTATCCGAGTGCTCTTACCCTGGTGTTGTATCCGAGTACTCTTACCCTGGTGTAGTATCCGAGTACTCTTGCCCTGGTGTAGTATCCGAGTACTCTTACCCTGGTGTTGTATCTGAGTACTCTTACCCTGGTGTTGTATCCGAGTACTCTTACCCTGGTGTTGTATCCGAGTACTCTTACCCTGGTGTAGTATCCGAGTGCTCTTACCCTGGTGTTGTATCCGAGTACTCTTACCCTGGTGTAGTATCCGAGTACTCTTACCCTGGTGTAGTATCCGAGTGCTCTTACCCTGGTGTTGTATCAGAGTACTCTTACCCTGGTGTAGTATCCGAGTGCTCTTACCCTGGTGTTGTATCAGAGTACTCTTACCCTGGTGTTGTATCCGAGTACTCTTACCCTGGTGTTGTATTCGATTACTCTAACCCTGGTGTAGTATCCGAGTACTCTTACCCTGGTGTAGTATCCCGGATACATCTTCTCCGTTACCGGGGCGACGTACTCCAGCAGGAACTGCTGCCACTCACGCTGGAAGTTCACCTGGTTCATGTGGATGTCGATGGTAGGAACGTTCTCATACCCGCCCTGGATCCTCTGGTCCTGAGGGAGGAGAGGACTATGTGAGACCAGAGAGAGAGACCAGAAAGAGACTAAAAAGGACAGAGGGAGACCAGAAAGAGACTAGAGAGGACAGAGAGAGACCAGAGCGATAGAGACCATCAGTAAGACTGACCCGGTTCCCGCCTCCAGACCATTTCCCATGATGCTCCATTTCTTCCACGATGTGATCACAGGCGACATCCGAGAGAACAGGAAACCAGTAAACGTCCGGACAGGGCTGCAACAGTATACATGTCTCAGTGTACATGTCTCAGTGTACATGTCTCAGTATACATGTCTCAGTATACATGTCTCTGTATACATGTCTCAGTGCACATGTCTCAGTATACATGTATCAGTATACATGTCTCTGTATACATGTCTCTGTGTACATGTCTCTGTGTACATGTCTCTGTATACATGTCTCAGTATACATGTCTCTGTATACATGTCTCTGTATACATGTCTCAGTGTACATGTCTCAGTATACATGTCTCTGTACACATGTCTCAGTATACATGTCTCTGTATACATGTCTCTGTATACATGTCTCTGTATACATGTCTCAGTGTACATGTCTCAGTATACATGTCTCAGTATACATGTCTCAGTATACATGTCTCAGTATACATGTCTCAGTATACATGTTTCAGTATATAAAATACTGATAATATACTGATAATATTATAAATTTCACTCGTGAGGATGCTAAGGAGAGTGAACTCGCCTTTCTAGATTGTAAGGTCATCATACTGGAGAACGGACAATTAGAGACTGAGGTCTTCAGAAAGTCCACTCACACTGACCAGTACCTGGCCTTTGATTCAAATCATCCGCTACAACATAAACTCGGGGTCATTAGAACGCTTCAACACCGAGCCCTCCAGGTCCCCACTAGCTCGGAGGGAAAGAACAGAGAAACCAAACATGTTCAGAGAGCACTTTCCAGATGTGGCTACCCCAAGTGGTCTTTTACTAAAGCCCAAAGGACGAGAAAAGCCAGAGACACAGTCCAACAGACAGAAGAAAGTAGGAGGAGAGGGGTGTCCTTACCGTATGTGGCGGGAGTTTCAGAGAAACTACAAAGAATCTTTAGGCAACACAAAATCCCTGTGTATTTCAAACCTTTCAACACGTTAAGACAGAAATTAGTGCATCCCAAAGACAAAACACCCAGACACAAACAGAGCAATGTGGTGTATTCAATTAAATGTAGTGAAGAGGAGTGCACTGACCACTATACTGGAGAAACCAAACAAACTCTACAGAAACGACTTTACCAACATCGTAGAGAAAACTCTAGTGGGCCACAGTCGGCTGTTCATCTCCACCTCAAGGCCTCCAACCACACGGTGGATGACACAGAGGTTAAAATTCTGGCTCGGGAGAAGAATTGGTTTGAGAGAGGAGTGAAAGAAGCCATTTTTGTGAGGAAACAAAAACCTTCTCTTAACAGAGGAGGAGGGTTAAGATTTGTTTTGCCTCGCATCTATGACGACATCCTAAAAACAACGCCCTAACTTGGGTCAGTGACATGCTAATGAGTTAGGGTCGTTAGCCTCAGCAGGGTCGTTAGACCTGCTCCCTTCTACATCAGACCTTAGATTGTTTACGAGTTAGTATCAGGATTAGGGTGTGGCTAACCACACCCATAGGTTATAAATCTCCAACGCGCGGTCCGAGAATTCATTCCCTGAAGAAGTCCGCTAGGTTGAGGACAAAACGTCGGGAAAACTTGCTAAGAAGTACAGATGATGGGTGAGAAACCTTCCTTTGCTTTGACTAATCCCTGTACGACTGAGGGCTTACACAAACTTAATGTCTCTGTATACATGTCTCTGTGTACATGTCTCAGTATGTCTCTGTATACATGTCTCAGTATACATGTCTCTGTATACATGTCTCTGTATACATGTCTCTGTATACATGTCTCAGTATACATGTCTCAGTATACATGTCTCTGTATACATGTCTCAGTATACATGTCTCAGTATACATGTCTCTGTGTACATGCCTCAGTATACATGTCTCTGTATACATGTCTCAGTGTACATGTCTCTGTATACATGTCTCAGTATACATGTCTCAGTATACATGTCTCTGTATACATGTCTCTGTATACATGTCTCTGTATACATGTCTCAGTATACATGTCTCAGTATACATGTCTCAGTATACATGTCTCAGTGTACATGTCTCAGTATACATGTCTCTGTATACATGTCTCTGTATACATGTCTCAGTATACATGTCTCAGTATACATGTCTCAGTATACATGTCTCTGTATACATGTCTCTGTATACATGTCTCTGTATACATGTCTCAGTATACATGTCTCAGTATACATGTCTCAGTGTACATGTCTCAGTGTACATGTCTCAGTATACATGTCTCAGTATACATGTCTCAGTGTACATGTCTCTGTATACATGTCTCTGTATACATGTCTCTGTATACATGTCTCAGTACACATGTCTCAGTATACATGTCTCAGTGTACATGTCTCAGTGTACATGTCTCAGTATACATGTCTCTGTATACATGTCTCTGTATACATGTCTCAGTATACATGTCTCAGTGTACATGTCTCAGTATACATGTCTCTGTATACATGTCTCTGTATACATGTCTCTGTATACATGTCTCAGTACACATGTCTCAGTATACATGTCTCAGTGTACATGTCTCAGTGTACATGTCTCTGTATACATGTCTCTGTATACATGTCTCAGTGTACATGTCTCAGTGTACATGTCTCAGTATACATGTCTCTGTATACATGTCTCAGTGTACATGTCTCAGTATACATGTCTCTGTATACATGTCTCTGTATACATGTCTCAGTGTACATGTCTCAGTATACATGTCTCTGTATACATGTCTCACCGACTCCATCTGGTCCTTCAGAACGCGGCTGTAGTTCGGGTGAAGGTAGCGCTCTTCCCAGTCCTTTCACAAACACACACACAATATTTGTAATATTTGTGTTATTTTATTTTATTCTCTGGTCTCTCTCTGGTCTCTCTGGTCTCTCTCTGGTCTCTCTCTGGTCTCTCTCTGGTCTCTCTCTGGTCTCTCTCTGGTCTCTCTCTGGTCTCTCTCTAGTCTTTCTGGTCTTTCTGGTCTCTCTCTAGTCTCTCTCTGGTCTTTCTGGTCTCTCTCTAGTCTCTCTCTCTGGTCTCTCTCTGGTCTTTCTGGTCTCTCTCTAGTCTCTCTCTCTGGTCTCTCTCTGGTCTTTCTGGTCTCTCTCTGCTCTTACCACTGGGTTATGGAAGATCTCCCACAGGTCGTTGTGCAGGTGTTCGGTTCGATAGTTCTCTGTGGACAGGATCCTCCCGAACGTCTGCAGGTTTGTGACGAACATGAAGATCTCCTGAGAACAACACACTGATGAGAGCTGAGGGCAGCAACCACCTAGCAACTGCCTAGCAACCGCCTTGCAACCGCCTAGCAACCAAAACCCATTCCGTAGCCTCTGTTCCTCACACTCTTGCCTGCAGGAGCCACATTTTGGGAATGAGAGCTCCTGATTGGTCGATCCTTATATGGTCATATCTGGATTTAAGACATCACATATAAACACAAGATCGCAGAGAAACCACAGATTTAAGCCCAAAATGGTGATGTCACACAAACGTTACTGAGCTCGAGGAGTTCACTTTTACATGGAAGTCTTTAGGAGCCAGAGAGGCTTCATAGAGCTCAAGTTACACCGGTAACTCTTGTATGCAGTCTATGGTTGGTTGTTGTGTCTGTGTTGCTGTGTAGTTGTTTCTGTATAGTTGTGTGGTGGTTGTGTAGTTGTGTTAGTACCCGATTGCGTAGAGTCTGACAGAAGGCCATGTCAGGGTCCACCCCTGGTTCCTGGTACAGGGACAGGTCCTGGAGCTGGTTCCTCAGTAGAGAGCCCTTCAGCAGATACACACTAGACACATACGGGACGTTCCACAGGCCTCTGCGAGCACAGGGAGGGGCCCATGGTCGCTACGGTTACTATGGTTTTATGTTTTCATTTTATACAAATATACACAATCTATATATATGTGTTTTTGTACTTTGTTTTTGTTTTGTTTTATGGTTTGTAAAAGTGTGTGTGTGTCTGTGTGTGTGAGTGATGTCACTCACTGGCGGCGTCCCTGCACCACGTCCACATAGTCCTCAGAGCGAGCGTAGAAACCATCAACACTCAGAGCTCCCCAGAAGTTACTCCACAGACGACCGGCTCTGGTGATCATGGGGGCCACCAGGGGCCTGCGGAGACACACACACACACACACACACACACACACACACACACACACACACACACACTGAGAGGAGAAACACATACACACAGAAACAGGTCTCTGCACATCCTTGTCAGCGGTGGTGGTCTCTCTGGTCCCAGTCATCAGAGCTTGTACATCTGTGGTCTTTCTGGTCCTGGTCCTGGTCCTGGTCTGCAGGTTGGTCTCTCTGATCTCTCTGGTCCTGGTCTCTCTGGTTCCGGTCCTGGCATCTGGTTTTTCTGGTCCTGGTCTGCAAGTTGGTCTTTCTGGTCCTGGTTTGCAAGAAGGTATTTCTGGTCCTAGTCTCTCTCAGGTCCTGATCCCGGTCCTGGTCTGCAGGTCGGTCTCTCACAGGTTCAGCTCCAGGAGGATCTTCAGAGTGTCCTCGTTCTTCAGCACCACCTCCACGTCCAGGTTGAAGAAGTAATCACAGGAGACGTCCTTCCGGCACACGTAACTGCAACCACAGGGTAACCACAGAGAAGTCACATAGCAACCACATAGTAACCACAGAGAAGTAACATAGCAACCACATAGTAACCACAGAGAAGTCACATAGTAACCACACGGTAACCACAGAGAATGAACATAGCAACCACATAGTAACCACAGAGAAGTCACATAGCAACCACATAGTAACCACAGAGAAGTCACATAGTAACCACACGGTAACCACAGAGAATGAACATAGCAACCACATAGTAACCACAGAGAAGTCACATAGCAACCACAGAGGTCACATAGCAACCACAGAGGTCACATAGCAACCACAGAAGTAAGTAATTTTTATTTATATACCGCCTTTCACAGACCAGAGTCTCAAAGCGGTTTACAATTGTTATTTTTGGGCACTTGTCCTCTCACTCCACACAGAGCTGGGAGCGGGGTCGCCGAACAGGAGGCACATGCCAGACCTATTGTACATATTTTTAGTGGTAGGGGAAACCGGAGTACCCGGAGGAAACCTACGCAGACACGGGGAGAACATGCAAACTCCACTCAGAAAGGCCCTGGTCCGACCGGGATTCGAACCCAGGACGTTCTTGCTGAGAGGCGAGAGTGCTATCCACTCAGCCACCGTGCCGCCCACGAAGAGAAGTTACATAGCAACCACACGGTAACCACAGAGAATGAACATAGCAACCACATAGTAACCACATAGTGACCACAGAGAAGTCACATAGCAACCACACGGCAACCAAAGAGAAGTCAATACAGCAAGAGCTGACGACCACAGGGCATGATATGTATGGTATAAACAACTATTATTGTGATGACGAGTAACTGCAGTACAACTGAAATGTGAATCTTCCTGATGCAGCCCTGGTGTCTCTCTCTCTGGTCTCTCTCTCTCTGGTCTATGTCTTTGGTTTCTCTCCCTATATAGTCTCTCTCTCTCTCTGGTCTCTCTCCCTGGTCCTCTTTCTCTGGACTCACATGGCCTGGTCTCTGGCTGTAGCGAGGTCCAGGTCTGGGTCTGGTCCCACGGTCTGCACACCATGGTACAGGTGACCATGGTTCTTCAGGAAGGAGCTGACGTCACGCTCATGGTGTGACTCCTGCAGAGAGAAAATTATGGGTAAGACCAGAGAGACCAGAGAAAGAGAAAGACCAGGGACCAGAGAGAGCGAGAGACCAGAGAAAGAGACTAGAGAGAAAACTCAGAGAGAGATGGATCACGGACCAGAGAGAGAGAAAGAGAGACCTTGTTGTAGATGTAAAGGCGGAGTCTCTCTTTGGGATAACGCAGCTTCAGCAGACGCTCAAAGAACACGCTCACAAACGGAGTGGGCTGAGGGATGAAGACCGCGATGAAGACCATGGGAGGCTCCTGGACCAGGACACAGAAGATAGAGATTATAAAACATGTTAGCGTCTGTGTCGAGAGAGACCATGGAGTCACGGAGAGATGATTGACTGAATGAGGATGGTCCTCTCTTCTCACTTTTCTGAAGAGAGACCAGTGAGAGAGACCAGAGAGAGACCAGTGAGAGAGACCAGAGAGAGAGACCAGAGAGAGAGACCAGAGAGAGACCAGAGAGAGACCAGTGAGAGAGACCAGAGAGAGACCAGTGAGAGACCAGAGAGAGAGACCAGAGAGAGACCAGAGAGAGACCAGAGAGAGACCAGTGAGAGAGACCAGAGCGAGACCAGAGAGAGACCAGAGAGAGACCAGAGAGAAACCAGAGAGAGACCAGAGAGAAACCAGAGAGAGACCAGAGAGAGACCAGAGAGAGACCAGAGAGAGACCAGTGAGAGAGACCAGAGAGAGACCAGTGAGAGAGACCAGAGAGAGACCAGTGAGAGAGACCAGAGAGAGACCAGTGAGAGAGACCAGAGAGAGACCAGTGAGAGAGACCAGAGAGAGACCAGAGAGAGACCAGAGAGAGACCAGTGAGAGAGACCAGAGAGAGACCAGTGAGAGAGACCAGAGAGAAATGTAAATGTTTATGTGAATGTCTCCTGCAGGACTCTGACCTGGAGAGAGGCCAGTGGCAGCAGGTCCTGGTCACAGACCGTGCAGCCGGTCTCAAAGGTCCAGGAGTTGGGGATGTAGTTCCCGAGGTAGTTCATCTGCAGCTGTGGCAAAAACAGAGTCAGTGTTTCATGGAGAGTGCACTGCCCAGAGTGACCACCAGAGGGAGCCACATACCCCAACTGCAGACCAGGAGTGTTTAATGGGCAGTGGACCATTTCACATTCAGTTTATTTGCCATTTGCAGTAAAACCACTTTGGAATGCACGTGCAAGAGTCCCCAGTGTGACCCAGACAAGAACAGGAAGTGCTAACAGCTGTTAGCATGTTAGTAACTCAGCTAACAATATCTTCTGCATGAGGGAAGAAGCTGGAACATGGCTTTTCCAGGAGCCAGAAGAGTGATTATTCTAAGAGTCTGGATTAAGTGTTTGTCATGTACTGCCTACAGTGACCACTAGAGGGAGCTGTGATCCTGCTCCACACTGCAGACCATGGTGTAGATGAATAGTGAATAAAACTTTGGTTTTTGGCTCTCTGTGATCCTGCTGTTAATACCGTGATGTCGTCTTTGTAAACTCTAGTTTGTCTTAGCAACCGTCTTAGCAACACGTCTGCATCTGTTACAGCACAATACAAACGCTGTGAGAACAGATGCCCAAATAAGGAAACTGGCTCCAGCTTATGATCAAATCAGTGTATTCTGCCACAGCCAAAGCCCCTCTCCAGAGCGCACCTAAAGGCCAGCTGTGGTACTGCATTATAATAATTACATGAAAAACTGAAAAATATTCAACTCAAACTCAACAGACAGAGCCTTTGTGTTCTGTTAGACACTGGCACCGCTTCCAGAAGAAAACCCAATCAGATCCTCCCATCCTCCCCCTCACTTCCTCTCTCTCCCCCCTCCTCTCTCCCCCTCCTCTCTCCCCCTCCTCTCACCCCTCCCTCGCCTCAGAAAACTGCAGACTGTGGCATGACTGTGTTATCATGTTTGTCTTATATTACTTTAATAAATCACACAAAGACACTTGTTTGCCTCGGATCATAATACTTTTGGCCATAACATGAGCCACACAGCAACCGGCATAGCAACCGCATGGCAACCGCACCGCAACCGCACCGCAACCATCCAACGTGGTTTTACTGGTAATTAATCTGAGCCTGATAGTAGATGGATGATAAAGCAGTAAACCTTGGTGGGTCCGTTGCCGTGGACCAGCACCGGCAGAGTGTCGTACAGAACGTTTCGGGCTCGAACTCGACTGTCCTCAAACTTCAGAACCACATCATCTGAAAAACACACAAACACAACTGTCACAAAAGTCCACATCGATGACGTCGCTCTTCTGTGGTATAGTCAGAGTTCTGAAGTCTCAGAAGTGTTGCTGATTCTTACTGAGCCCAATTCTATTCTCTGCTTCTTTACTTTGGACTGTTTCAGAGTCTGTGACGTCCTGTTACTTACATGGGAATAAAAAAGATTCTGTTTGAGTCTGATCTTAGTCCTATGACCAGAGAGAAGGGGTCTCTCTCTGGTCTCTCTCTCTCACTGGTCTCTCTCAGTCACCGGTCTCGCTCTCTCTCTCTCTTTGGTCTCTCTCTTTTTCTCTGGTCTCTCTCTCTCTGGTATCTCTCTTTGGTCTCTCTCTCTCTCTCTTTGGTCCCTCTCTCTGGTCTCTTTCTCTGGTGTCTCTCTCTCTTTGGTCTCTCTCTCTGGTCTCTCTCTCTCTCTTTGGTCCCTCTCTCTGGTCTCTTTCTCTGGTGTCTCTCTCTCTCTCTTTGGTCTCTCTCTCTCTGGTTTCTCAATCTTAAACAGTGAATAATGTGTTCTTTTCCGTGTCCTGAATTCTTTCCACAGCAGCAGAACAAACTGCCCTCAGACAAGTCTGCTCTGTGCCTCTACATGTCCTCTGTCCTGGGGCAACATAAAACCCACCGGGTCTCTCTCTCTGGTCTCTCTCTCTGGTCTCTCTCTGGTCTCTCTCTGGTCTCTCTCTGGTCTCTCTCTGGTCTCTCTCTGGTCTCTCTCTCTGGTCTCTCTCTGGTCTCTGTCTGGTCTCTGTCTGGTCTCTGTGTGGTCTCTGTCTGGTCTCTCTCTGGTCTCTCTCTGGTCTCTCTCTGGTCTCTCTCTCTCTCTGGTGTGTGCGTTTGTGTGCGCGTGTGTGCGTGTGTGTGTGTGTGTGTGTGTGTGCGTTTGTGTGCGCGTGTGTGTGCGTGCGTGTGTGTGTGTGTGTGTGTGTGTGCGTGCATGCACTTGTTTTCAACTCCTGGTGGGTTCCATAACCTGAGATTCCACTCGCGTCATGGGGACTGGTTTTACGTGGTGGGGCCCGAACACCGGACCCCACTGGTCCAAGCTTAATAATCAATGGGTAATGCTTTTCTAACGGTCCTTATGCAGTCTCTGTAAAAATATGGAAAGGACCCCTGGAGGTTTACTTTCCTGAAAAAAGTGTGTTATGTGTCGGAACCCTGGTGGTGGGTTGCGGGATATCAAGGAGGGGCACACTGGGGCAATTTCAGTCCAGCAGGCTGGAGCCAATCATGGAGCAGCACAACAGAGGAAGTCAGGTGTCAGGCTAGAAAAAGGTGCAAGTGTGTGGTTCATTAGGCTGCAAGAAATCATGGAGGAGCACACTGAAGCGCACGCTTACAAACCACTGGTAAGTGCTGACTACAAGTCATGACTTAAAATTGTTATATAGAATGATTACAAATTATTTGTTGTTTGTGCAGCTTAGTCAAGAGTCCCTAATTGATGAAGTCGACTCAGATTCTGACGATTTAACTGTCAAGAAGAAACCTGTAAAAAAGTATGGAAAAAGAAAAATCAAAAACACTTTTCTTCAAGACTCGGAAAGTGACGAACCAAAGGCAAATAAGATTGTTATCATGCAGCTGCAAAAGAAGAAAAATGGGGGGCGAGTTTACAGCAAGAGACACTTCTGCCTCTACTGTTCAATGTCCTGCCACAAAATGTCCCGTCATTTGACTAGAAAACATGGAAATGAAAGTGACGTAGCCAGAGCATTGGCTCTACCTGTGAAATCTAAAGCACGTAAACTTCAGTTTGATTTAATCAGGAATAGTGGAAACCGTGAGCACAATTTTGAGGTTTTAAAGGCCGGCATTGGAACTTTAGTCCCAGCTAAACAGCCAAATTCCCCAGTTAAATCCAGTGAGTTTTTGCACTGTATAGACTGTGGGGCATTGCTTAAGCGAAAGTGGCTGTGGAGGCATGTGGCCAGGTGCCGGCTTTCACAGAAAGATGCCCAGGCTAAACCAGGCTAAACCAGGTAGAAGTAGGGTCCAGTCCCTCTGCTCCCTAGCCCAGCCTGTACCGGAGGGCATCAGCAAAAAGCTGTGCTCTTTAATTTGGGCAATGCATCAGGATGAGGTCACGGGTGTTGTCAAAGCAGAAAAGGGGATTCTGAGACTCGGAGAGCACCTGTACTTAAAACACGGGCATGATAAGACTAAGCATGATTACATTAGGCAGAAAATGAGAGAAGTCGGTAGGTTAATTAACGAAGCAAAAACCGCAGGGAAACTGAAAACAATGAAGGATTTCTTTATTCCTTCCAACTTTAACCATGTGATTGATGCAGTCAGGTCTGTGGCTGGATATGATGAGGAAACAAATCAATACAAGACTCCATCCTTGGCCCTCAAACTCGGCCATAGCCTCAGAAAGCTAGCAGATATTCTTGAATGTGACTCAAAAATGGAGCATTGTGTTGATGAACTATTTATTAAAAACCTCCAACGAAGCCGGCTGCTTTTTGAGAAGAGGTGGGACGTCTGTGTTTCTTCTGCTGCCCTACAGACCCTCCGGCAAGCCAAGTGGAACACTCCGGACCTGCTCCCTCTGACTGAGGACGTTAGAGCCATGCATGCACATATTGAGGTATGTCGACCTGAATATGTGCAAACCCTAATAAGTGAGCCAACGTCTAAGCATTGGTCTAAACTGGCAGTTTTGACTCTTTGTGAGGTCATCATTTTCAATCGAAGAAGGGAAGGTGAGGTTTCAAAGATGCCACTGACAGCCTTTACCTTAAGAAGTAAGACTGGGATCCATTCTGACATTGCTCTGGGACTGTCCCAACTTGAGAAAAAGCTGTGTCAGCATTTTCAACGCATTGAAATTAAAGGGAAAAGAAGTCGGAAAGTGCCGGTTCTTTTGACTCCTGAAATGATTGCTTGGATGGAGGTGCTGGTGGAGAACAGAAGGGCCTGTTCCATCTCTGACCATAACCCATACTTCTTTTCCCGCCCGGGCGCAGACACCCACATCAGGGGATCAGACTCCCTACGCCAGGTAGCCAAAGAATGTGGTGCGGTGCATCCAGAGATGCTATCCTCAACCAAACTTAGAAAGCACATAGCTACTATGTCTACAGTTCTCAATATGAAAGAGAATGAGATGGACATACTTGCCAACTTCCTCGGCCATGACATTCGCATCCACAGGCAATATTACAGACTACCAGAGGGGACACTGGAGCTGGCCAAAATCAGCAAAGTGTTGATGGCCATGGAGCAGGGAAGAGTGACGGAATTCGAAGGAAAGAGCCTCGACCAGATACAAATTGAGCCTGAAGGTAATTCTTGATATTATTAAAATATGTATGATTTTTTTCCCCTAAAGGCCACTTGTATTTTTATTTTCTGTGCGACAGGGAGAGCAGTAGAGATCCTCTCACAAACGGACGGGCTAAAAGAAACTTCAAGCGGAGAACCTTCAACCATTCATCCAGATGCACCCCATGGTAGTGGCAGTGCCCCTTCTGGTAAGTGTACCAGGTGGGGGATTACAGCCAGGCTGCTTGGTCCTAACCCTGGGAGTGTATATTGCTAATATATTTTTATTTCTCTCCCTAGAACGTGTAAGAAAGCCATGGTCTGCATCTGAGGTGAAGGCTGTGGAGAAGACCATGACACCTTTCATACAGACTGGAAAGGTCCCTGGGAAGTCTCACTGCCTGGCCTGCATTAATGCCTCACCAGATGACCTTAGACATCGGACATGGAGTGGCATTAAATTCTATGTCAAAAATAGAATCACTGCAATTCGAAAACAAAATCTAAAATAAAATTCCTTTAAAATAGTTGTTTGTTTTCTATTGACTGTTTTGTATTACTTAAAGTAGTCCCAGTAAAAAAGATTATGTCTATGGGTCCCATTCTGAACGGCCCTGTCAAAGGGACCCACCAGGTAACAAAAACGTGTAATGTGTTGTGTGTGTGTGTGTGACAAGCACCAGAACACCCTCCTCACTCCATGTCAGCGTGAAAGAAATGATAAGCCAAATGAATAAAGGAGACTGTAGAGACTGTGGGAATCACCTTGTCTCCTCGATGTAAAGGCTACTAATATACTCCAGTGTATTGTGTGTGTGTGTGAAACTCGGAGTGAACATCTCCAGGCCCGCGCCGTCAAACCACATGGCTGATATTCTGATAAGTCATAAGTCACCCGATACTCAGTCACAGAACACCTTGTTAACAGCGGCCTGTACTCCCAGGACGAGAGTGCAGAGAAGAATTTACACGTTCATCACTTATAAATACGTTTGTTTTTCAACAGGCAAGCAGTTTATTATAAACAAGCACATTTCATACACAACTTGAGGTTCCTGGATTGAAGCAATACAAGGCGTTAGGGTTTTGGGTTAGTAATTCCTATACATTCACTGTGACATTCAAATAGAGTGACGATAAAATCCTTCAGTTGTATGCACAACACTCATGAACAGAATCATGTATTTAATCTGGGCATTGAACAGCTGTCAGTTGGAGAAGACGCCTGTCACACATTTCCAGGAAGAACAAGAAGGTGAGTTTCAGTCATAAAAATAAGCAAAAGCCAAGGACATCAGAGCGTTTATCTGAATCGACGCTTAGGAAAAGATGTTTATTGTTCAGATGATCTCATCCCAATCTTATAAATTTACTTTATGTCTATTCAAATGATAGTGAGACATTACTCCCTTCAACATTATTCGTTATTTTAGAACTGTGAAGTTAATATCTTAAGTTATGGAAAATACTATGGTGAAAGTAT